TAGATTTGGTATTGTGTTTTAGGTTATTGTCCTGCTGAAAGGTGAATTCATCTCTCAGTGTCTGGTGGAAAGAAGACTGAACCATGTTTTCCTCTAGGATCTTGCCTGTGTTTAGCATCAATCCATTTCTTTTTTATTCTGAAAAACTTCCCAGTCATTAACGATTACAAGCTTGGTACTCAGTAATGTGTTGTATTGGATTTGCCCCAAACATAACACTTTGTATTCAAGACAAAAAGTGAATTGCTTTGCCACATTTTTTGCAGTATTACTTTAGTGCCTTGTTGCAAACAGGATGCATGTTTTGGAATATTTTTATTCTGTACAGGCTTCCTTCTTTTCACTCTGTCAATTAGGTTAGTATTGTGGTGTAACTACAATGTTGTTGATCCGCCCTCAGTTTTCTCCTATCACAGCCATTAAACTCTGTAACTGTTGTAGCCCTTTCCTGCAATCAAATGACAAAATTGCCCTCTAGTGGCCTCATGGGTGGAACGTTATTAATATTTTTCATAATTTCATAATTAATAAACATTTTTCTTTACAAAAACTCTGAAATTCCAGTGTATCTATCTCAAACGGTTTTGTTATATTTCAGTCTTCTGTGATGTATATAAAGTGTAATATTGGGGTGCAACCTCAAAATTCAATACATTTCAACGTTATATCTGACATGGTACAGGTGTCTTCTTTTTTTAAGGCCATAACCATGTGTGTGAGGTGTATACTTTTGTTTCAAAGTACATTTGTTCGAAATTCACTGCTCGACTGAGGGACCTTACAGATAATTGTATGTGTTGGGTACAGAGATGAGGTAGTCATTCAAAATTCATGTTAAACACTATTATTGCACACAGAGTGAGTCCATGCAACTTATGTGACTTGTTAAGAACATTTTTGCTCCTGAACTTATTTAGGCTTGCCATAACAAAGGGTTAGAATACTTATTGACTCAAGACATATCAGCTTTTAATTTGTTATTAATTTGTACAAATTTCGAAAGACATAATTCCACTTTGACATTATGGGGTATTATTGTGTGTAGGCCAGTGACAAAAAATCTCAATTTAATCCATTTCAAATTCTGGCTGTAACACAACAAAATGTGTATTAAGTCAAAGGGTATGAATACTTTCTGAAGGCACTGTATTGTAAAAATGCATTTAAAAAAATAGCTTTTTGGTCTTTATTTAAGGTTAGCGTTAGGCATTAGGGTTAGCAGTGTGGTTAAGGTTAGGGTTAAGGTTAGTGTTAGGTTTAAAATCAGATTTGATGACTTTGTGACAGAGGGGTTGTGTGTTAGTTGGACTTCAGAGATACCTATGCTCTACTGGTTGGTTGGTTGGCTGCAGCCCTTCAAAGAACAGGGTCAGAAATTGAGATTGGTGGCAGTCTATTGTGCAGTGACACCCCAAACCCAGTGCCTCACAACAAGGGTTAGGAATCAGTAATGTAGCCTGTATCCCATGAGTACATAAATAATCAGCTTTGCATTGATAAAGAGATTGCAATATATTTATATAGTCATTTATATAGCCTCTCCTACCAGACAGTACAAAGCCTTCCAGAAGACCATATCTGAGTTTACTAACTCTAATTATTGCTTCAGCAATATAAACTTCTGAACAATAACCAGTTACATTCAACTCTGAAACCGAGGGGATTCAAGTCATCAACACAAAAGTAATAAATGTCCTTGAAATAAATGTACTTGGAGACAGCTGGTTGTGCCAATACATGACAAAGGAACTCAGGTAACAGTTATGGATTCGAAGTGAGTGGGGGACATGAGCAGCTCAATAGTTATTCCCAAACAGCATGTGTTAGCTTGTTATAGGAGGCCAATGGTGCTTAATGCTGGGCTGCATTCACAGGCCTCTGTCGGGGACAGACATGCTTCACTGATTCAGAGGAGAAACAGAGCACAAATGAGAAAGACCACAGTCATTCTCTCCCTAAAACTCTCCATTAGTCCTCCCTCTTTTGTGAGTCAGTACTGAGACTGCCCAGTGTGCCCAGTGTGCCCAGGAGCACTATTCATTGTTCCCCATCTCTCTCACATGAGCAATTTGTCTGTCTCCTGGCCACCGTACGGAAGAAAGCTCCACTCCGTTATTCTCCACTCATTTTCAAACAAAAAAAAATCCCCAGACCCACACGTCGGCTAAAACACAGAAGCACACACACAACTAAACAAGACATGCTCATACACGCAAGCGAACATGCACACACAGACACAGATACACAGACACACACAAACACACGCATACATGCGCGCACACACACACAGCTGTTGCTGAGTGTAGCTTCACTATCTAGCAGTGCCACTAATGAGAGAAAGAGAGAGAGAGCACACTAAGAGCAAAGCCTAACATAGAGCCAGTAGAAAACGAATATAATTTATGTTTAATTCTCAGAACTCCAACCGAAAACACCCAGTCAGTCATGTCCTCTTTCACAGATCTCATCGGCATAACACTAGTTCCTAATTCTGAAAATCACTCTGCTCTCGGTAGCTATGACGCATTGGCTAACACGGCAAACCATGCTCAATCACTTGAGCAAATTTGCTACAGCTAGCACCCTAGTGCAAGCTTGTTTGAATGGCCATACGGTAGCTAGTTTGCCAGCTTGTTGATGAAGTTGTACGGCACCAAAGTTTTGGGATTGTTAGAAAAATCTGCATGTATCTGACTCTAAAAGCTGGCACTGTGCCTCGCTACTTTGTCACATTTGACCAACGCGATAACGTTGCAGAAAGCAGTCAGCTGTGCTGTAGAACTCGGCTCACTACTCATGGCAGAACAGATATAATGAAAACTCATTTGTGCATTAGCTAGAACTTCACCTAGCTAGCTAGCTAGCTAGAGGGAGTATTAAGCATTGAGTGTGTGAACTGGCATTGTTAGCATCCCTGCTTTTCATTTCATATGGATTGATTTGAGACTGGTTCAGACAGCAAGCAGACATTTTCGTGCACATTTCACATTTCATAAATGCTGATTCTACCACCACAAAACACCTTACTTGATATAGAATTAGGTAGCTAAGACTTGCTCACCTTGGTAAACTTTTTTTAATGATAGGACAGTATATTGTAGCCTAACTTATTTTTAGCTATCACTTGAGTGTTTGCGAACTATCAGACAGATCAGTGCAGACGGCCTTCACGCTTTCTGACATGAGACAATGGCCTAGACTCATCAATATGTCTGTCTGATCAGAATGGGGACAGACACAGATATTAGTTGCTTAATGACTTCTATACTTCTGACCACTTTAGTCTCCTGTGTCTCAAAACAGGATCCTATCATGATCTCACTAGAACTGCTAATGCCAAATCCTCTTCAACAAGTAATGATGACCCACACTTTTAGAGCACTAACATTACCAAAGGGATCAAAGGTCAACTAATAATAGGCTTACAAGTAGAATGTAGAGAGGTCATACATCACAATGAAGATGGACACAAAGAAACTGACCCCTCTAATATAATAATAATATGCCATTTAGCAGACGCTTTTATCCAAAGCGACTTACAATCATGTGTGCATACATTTTTACGTATGGGTGGTCCCGGGGATCGAACCCACTACCCTGGCGTTACAAGCGCCATGCTCTACCAATTGAGCCTAATGGTGACAAATGGAAATAAAAGTAACATTTGAGTGATAGTGGTAGTGGAATGAACATGCATAAAGTTTGGCGAAAAAACGTATGTCTGGATCACTTAGGGACAGAAAATGACTCAGGGGTGAAATGGATAAATGGGTATTTCAGACTGTTACAATTAGGTGTCAGTGTCAGAGAAAGGAAAAGAAAAGCATTTGGGTGAGAGATAAAGAAAAAGAGTAGTTGGAAGACAGTTAGACAGAAGAAGAAAGAGCCTGTGATAAAATGTTCTGATGCAATCTAGGTATCCTATTTAAAATAATTATGTGACTAGATGCAGTATTGTGTAAAACACTTTATTTGATTAGATGCTCTCTCGTCTGCCTAGAACTGTGCCCTAACATGTAGCATGGGATTTCATTTGCCAAATAATCAATATTCACTTAACAGTCTCTTAAGTATGGGCCCCAGGCATCATCCGTTGTGACTGACTACAACACAGCAGCCATAGCAGTGCTTTACCCCCCCCTTTTGGCAGCTTTCACAACTGAATGTCACAACAGAATCATATTATATAATAGTCACCAGCTGAGGGTCTGCTGACTTGTGAGGCTACTCTGAGCCTGACAGGGCTTGTTATGTCGGGTTGCAGTTCAGATGGTGCTGCGTTACAAGATGCAAAAGGATGAAAAATGTATGCACTCACTAACTGTAAGTCGCTCTGGATAAGAGTGTCTGCTAAATGACTCAAATGTAAATGTAAAATGTAAAAGTTATTTAACTGGTTCTGCTCTCAAAATCCATGCGTTATAGCCGATCACAACAGACCAGAATCACCTCTCAGAGTAGAAGCTTTTTGAAGTTGATTTGACAGTGTGGCAGACTGGCTGTTACCACCTCAGTGTCCAATCAGTTATTATTGGTTAATCAGTGCCAATCAGTTATTAGTCCTAGTATCTTTTTTTCATCAAACATTCTTACAAGACTGCAGATACCAGGCATCTACAATGCTTTGTTCAGTTTCTTGGATCTGTTGTATATGACACCTAGTGTGGCTGTTTCTGTTGGGGTTTTGTTGTTGAATGACTGAGACATTAACAGTACTTGAGATACAGCAACATGTGCCAAAGGAATGACTTCATTGCTAACTTACGTGACCTCTGCCTTGGAATGAATTGGATAACTGCGAAACACTTTGATCACAGCTACGTCCTAAATGTTAATAGGTAATCAAGCACATTCCTACATTCCGTGTAGTGGGTTGGTGAAGAAGAGATTGAAAGGCAGAAAGGTCACGGTTGTAATGACGCATGTACAAATGTACAGTCGCTAGTTCATACTGCATTCTGAAGAGAAAGGCCTTTACCTGACTTTACCTGAGGAAGAGGATGGCCCAGCAGGGACCTACAGCAGCTCTGGAGGACGAGCTCAGCTGTCCCATCTGCTTTGAATTCTTCCAGGACCCCGTGAGTCTGTGTGAGCTGCTTCTGCCGCAGCTGCCTGGAAACACCAACATGGATACAACAAAAGCAGTGCGAATGCCCTGTCTGCAGGCGAAGGCATTCCATGGACGATTTACAGCCCTCCATGTCCAACATGAATCTGAGGAACATAGTGGAGGCCTACCTGCAGAGAGAGGAGAAGGAGGGGAGTGAGGGGAGAGCAGTGGGTCTTGTGGTGTGTGCCACACATAACAAGAAGCTCAGGTTTTTTTGTGAGGAGTGTGAGAAACTTGTTTGTGCTGTGTGTGTGGAGACCGAGCTGCATGCCAAGCATAAATACCTGTCAGTGAAGGAGGAAGCGCAATGGCGTAAGGTACTGTGCTAGCAGGAATACACATCTACTTGCAGTCTTTTCCCCTTGCTAACTGAGTTCCCTTTGGAACTCAATATACTGTAAACACAGAATAGTTGAGAAACTCATTTTATTTCCTTCCTTTTTTCTACTGTAACCCCTCCTTATCTCTCCACCACTATCCCCACTCTTTTCTGTTATCTACCTAGAGGGAACTCACTTCATTGCTCTACAACCTTCCTGAGAAACTGGAACTGGACATAAAACAAGCAAGAGCCTCAAGAGAGCATGCAGCACAATACATCAAGGTATGTCACTAGCTAAATAACACAATATTACAAAGATAATCCAAAGATATTACACAGATACTACATAGGTACATGTCTATCTTATTGTACTGTTCCCTCTGCCAGACCCAGGCCCAAACCACAGCAGGACATATCAAGAGTGATGTTAACCTCACTAGCGACATTAACTCCCTCTCTGAGAGAATCTCAGACATACAGAACAGGATGAAAACAGATGATGTCTCATTCCTGCAGGTTCATCTCACATATTTTAACAACACTCTATATTCATGGTACAACTGTTAGATGTACTGAGGCATTCTCAAACAATGATGTTATTTTTTTAAAACTGAGATCCACGTGTGTTCTTGTTTCAGATATACAAGGACTTGAAAGACAGGTATGCAACATTACAATGATCATCATAAGTCAAATATTTGATCAGTCTCCAACATTATTGACACAAACTGTCTGTACTGTATGTCATTTCAGTACACTGCAGGATCCAGAGCCTTTATCAGGGACACTGATAGACGTGGCCCAACACCTGGGGAACCCGAGGTTCAAGGTCTGGGAGAAAATGCAGAAAATGGTGCAATACAGTGAGTACACAGATTTTATAAGCAACAGGCCACATATTTGAGGTTCATTATTGACTTGCTTCCATGACGCAGCACAATGATCAGTTTCTAAACATTACAGTCCAATATCCAGGCTCCAGTCTCTACGCACTCTTCCATAGCCTTGAATCCTGAGTGAAGCAACAACAAAATGCAACTTTTCTGAGCCAATCTGATTCCTCACAAAAACCTGATTAATGTTCTGATTTCTGACTGATTATTGACAAAAAGCTGACTCAAGTTCAGATTCCTGACTGACCAGTAGTGTAAAGTACTTAAGTAAAAATACTTTAAAGTATAACTTAAGTCGTTTTTTTGGGGTATCTGTACTTTACTATTTATATTTTTGACAACTTTTACTTCACTACATTCCTAAAGAAAATAATGTACTTTTTACTCCATACATTTTCCCTGACAACCAAAAGTACTCGTTACATTTGCAATGCTTAGCAGGACAGGAAAATGGTCCAATTCACACACTAATCAAGAGCACATCCCTGGTCATCCCTACTGCGGACTCACTAAACACAAATGCTGGAGTGTTGGAGTGTGCCCCTGGCTATCCGTAAATTAAAAGAAACAAGAAAATTGTGCCGTCTGGTTGGCTTAATATAAGGAATTTGCAATGATTTACATTTTTACTTTTGATACTTAAGTATATTTTAGCAAATACATTTACTTTTGATACTTAAGTATATTTTAAACCAAATACTTCTAGACTTTTACTGAAGTAGTATTTTACTGGGTGACTTTCACTTTTAACAGAGCCATTTTCTATTAAGGTATCTTTACTTTTACTCAAGTATGTCAATTGGGTACTTTTACCACCACTATGACGGACTCATTGACAAACTGCTCAGTCATGTTATGATTGCTGAAATACAAACTGCTGACTCATGTTCTGATTTCTGACCCAGTGACAAACTGCTGACTCATGTTCTGTTCATACAGCCAGCAATACATTGCACTAATATCCATGTATCTAACCCGGTGGCCATCTAACCTGACCACTCCTTCTGTCCCAGCCCATGTGACTCTGGATGTGAATTCAGCCCACGCTGATCTACTGATCTCTGGGGTCCTCCTGGAGGTGAGTGACAGATGGGTGTCCCAGCCTGTGCCTGATAACGCTCAGCTCAGTGAACGTGCTAGGCTCTGTGGGTTTCTGCTCAGGCATTCACAGCTGGGAGGTGGAGGTGGGGCCTAAGAAGGCCTGGACTCTGGGTGTGGCTAAAGATAATGTAGCCCGGAAGGGCAATGTGATGGTCAGCACAGAGGGCGGGATCTGGGCGATGGGGTTGTGGAACGGGGAGCAGTATAGTGCTGGAACTGCCCCCCTGGGTACCCCTTTGGTTCTGAAGAGGAAGCCTAAGAGGATCATGGTCAAGCTGGACTATGAGAAAGGAGAGCTCTCTTTCCATGACTCCAGTGACATGTCACTCATCTATATGTTCGAACACAGGTTCACAGAGAGACTGTTCCCCTACTTCTCTCCCTGTCTGAACTCTGATGGCACTAACCCTGGAGTGCTGAGGATCTGCCCTGAGAAGGTGTCTGTGACTGTGGCACCTGTTCACTAAGGATATAATCTGGTGATTCTATTTTATGATCACATACTGAAGCATCTGTATTGGTAAAGTCTGTCACAGTGACTCCTGTGTATTGATTTTGTCTGTCTATTGTTTTGTCTATTGAGGTGAATATCCTGAACTCCAGTGATGACAGTGATGTCTGTGAAACCAATGTGTATTTCGGAACTGTTAATTAATTTATTGAGAGCAAGTGTCATAATTGAATTCCCTACTTCTTGGTGTCATGTTCAATAAAAGTACATATTTTGTTTACTTTGATTCCATGCCTCAGTCTTTAAGTGAAGCAAGTCAACACCCAAACACTGGACAAGTTTGTCAGCATTCCAGACAGCGTCATCAGTCCCTAGCCCAGCCACCTTACGGTAGGTACACCAGCTCAGAACAAGCACACATCTCTCCGTCATGGCTGCCACCTGGACCCTGGAGGACGACATGTCCTGCCCTGTGTGCTGCGATGTTTTCACTGACCCTGTGGTGCTGGGCTGCAGCCACAGCTTCTGCAGGAGCTGCCTGGACAACTTCTGGAACACTCAGGTCATCAAAAAGTGCCCCGTCTGCCGCCACCATTCCCTAACCGCCACTCCACCCAGTAACCTGGCTCTGAGGAACATCGTGGAGGCCTTTGTGAGGGAGAGGAGCCACAGTACCGCCAAGCAGGAGGAGACGAGAGAGGGGGAGAAGGAGAGCCAGGGAAGGAGGGAGTCAGGAGGGAGGAGTGGGTTGGTACAGGATGGGGATGAAAGGTGCAGTCTCCACGGGAAGAGGTTGTTGTTGTTCTGTGTGGAGGACCAGGAGGCTCTGTGTGCGGTGTGTCAGACCTCCAGGAGACACAGGAGCCACCAGCTCTGCCCTGTGGACGAGGCTGCTCAGGAACTCAAGGTATGGCTAGAACTGTATGTCATTTCAGGGCCAGTGACTGTATGTCACTTCGCTAGGCTGGTCTGGTAGTGTTACAGTAATTAGTCTGTTTACTGTTTTACTGTAGTGTTCCAATTACTGTGACTGTAAGTCATTTATGCTAGACAGATGAGCCCGTGTGGCTCAGTTCGTAGAGCACGGTGCTGACAACGCCAGGGTTGTGGGTTTGATTCCCATGGAGGACAAGTATGAAAATACATACACACACTACTGTAAGTCACTCTGGATAATAGCGTCTGCTAAATTACATAAATGTTATGTAAAATTCCACCTTATTGGGATTATTCAGTCCACTGAAACTATAGTTCTGTTTGCTTAGTTTTGTTATTTGGCAATATGTTGTTCTTTTTCGTTTTCTTATCTGTGCATTAGATGAGCTCATGAGTTCAGCAGGAATGTCGGCTTTGCAGTTTCTGAGAATCATTCAACGCGGTTTCGTCATGGGCAGAACAAATATTATACACTACCAGTCAAATGTTTTGGAACACCTACTAGGGTTTTTCTTTATCAAAACTATGAAATGACACATATGGAATCATGTAGTAACCAAAAAAGTGTTAAACAAATCAAAATATATTTTATATTTGATATTCTTCAAATACCCACCCTTTGCCTTGACAGCTTTGCACACTCTTGGCATTCTTTCAACCAGCTTCATGAGGAAGTCACCTGGAATGCATTTCAATTAACAGGTGTGCCTTCTTAAAAGTTAATATGTGGAATGTATTTCCTTCTTAATGCGTTTGAGCCAATCAGTTGTGTTGTGACAAGGTAGGGGGGGTATACAGAAGATATTCCTATTTGGTAAAAGACCAAGTCCATATTATGGCAAGAACAGCTCAAATAGGCAAAGAGAAATGACAGTCCACATCATTACTTTAAGACATGAAGGTCAGTCAATACGGAACATTTCAAGAACTTTTACAGTTTCTTCAAGTGCAGTCACAGAAACCATCAAGCGCTATGATGAAACTGGCTCTCATGAGGACCACCACAGGAAAGGAAGACCCAGAGTTACCTCTGCTGCAGAGGATAAATTCATTAGAGTTACAAGCCTCAGTAATTGCAGCCCAAATAAATGCTTCACAGAGTTTAAGTAACAGACACATCTCAACATCAACTGTTCAGAGGAGACTGTGTGAATCAGGCCTTCATGGTCGAATTGCTGCAAAGAAACCACTACTAAAGGTCACCAATAATAAGAAGAGACTTGCTTGGGCCAAGAGACACGAGCAATGGACATTAGACCGGTGGAAATGTGTCCTTTGGTCTGGAGTCCAAATATGAGATTTTTGGTTCCAACCACTGTGTCTTTGTGAGACGCGGTGTGGGTGAACGGATGATCTCCGCACGTGTATTTCCCACCTTAAAGCATGGAGGAGGAGGTGTTATGGTGCTTTGCTGGTGACACTGTCTGTGATTTATTTAGAATTCAAGGTACACTTAACCAGCATGGCTACCACAGTATTCTGCGGTGATACACCATCCCATCTGGTTTGGGCTTAGTGGGACTGTCATTTTGTTTTTCAACAGGACATTGACCCAACACACCTCCAGGCTGTGTAAGGGCTATCTATTTTACCAAGAAGGAGAGTGATGGAGTGCTGCATCAGATGACCTGGCTTCCACAATCCCCCGACCTCAACCAAATTGAGATGGTTTGGGATGAGTCAGACCGCAGAGTGAAGGAAATGCAGCTAACAAGTGCTCATCATATGTGAGAACTCCTTCAAGACTGTTGGAAAAGCATTCCAGGTGAAGCTGGTTGAGAGAATGCCAAGAGTGTGCAAAGCTGTCATCAAGGCAAAGGGTGGATATTTGAAGAATCTGAAATATAACATATTTTAATTTGTTTAACACTTTTTGGTTACTACATGATTCCATATGTGTTATTTCATAGTTTTGATGTCTTCACTATTATTCTACAATGTAGAAAATAATTATGTCTGTCTAATAGCACACAGACGCCTCAATTCCTGAAACTGTTTGTGGCCTAAACTCCTTGACTCCTCTCGTCCTATCTCATCACCTCCTTCTCAAAACCCATTGGAGGAGAAGGTCAGAGTGGAGGGACCTCTGACTTTCTCATCCAGTGGGTTTTGAGAAGGAAGTGAGGAGAGAGGACATGAGGAGTCAAGGAAATGCAATTGAGATTTCCCTCTGGTATGTGGCCAGGAGGAAGTGAAAGCATATATCATCCCTCTGAGGAGGAAGTTGGAGACATTCCAAAAGTTAAAGGAGGAATGCATCAAAACAGCAGAACACATCAAGGTAAGTACCATGGAACAAACAATTATAAGGAGAAATAAAGTTTACTTTATTGTCAACAATTTGGCCTCCTAGCCTTTTTTAACAGTTTTGCGCCATGAAACCATTTCCATATTATATCAGACAGCATGAGAGCTCACCCACTGACCCTTTGACCTGTCGACCCCTAGAGCCAGGCCAAGCAAACAGAAAGGAAGATAAGAGATGAATTTGAGGAGCTGCATCACTTTCTGAATCTGGAGGAAGTTGTTCGGCTGTCTGCCCTCTCTGAGGAGGTGGAGATGAAGACAGTTATAATGGCAGAGAAGATTGAACACCTGGCCAAGAAGATGACCTCCCTGACCAGCAACATCAGAGAGATAGAACAGGATATAGAGGCCAACGATCTTCCATTTGTCCAGGTCAGAGACACTTACTTTTAGCATACACATTCTAAAATACATTTGATTTCCTAATTTGGTCATTTTATCTCACACTATGTTCTTTCCCCAGGCTTACAAGAACAACAAAGCAAGGTACAGTACTACTTTTTCAAACACATTCTGCCTGCTTTTAGGTTATAGTCCTTCACTACAACAGCCACTCTATCTGTATTTTTGCTTCAGGGCCAACTGTACATTGCAGGATCCAGAACCTGTATTAGGGGCATTGATAGACGTGGCCCAACACCTGGGCAACCTGAGGTTCAAGATCTGGGAGAATATGCAGGAGAAGGTGCAATACAGTGAGTACTAGACCAGAGCAAATTAATGGTTATCAGATCACTAGATGCTCAGAGAACCATACTTTAAAATATAAATTGTTATATAGCGTTGTAGTCATACCTGTTTGTGTTTCCCCCCAGCCCCAGTGACTCTGGACCCCAACACTGCGGCCCCATGGCTCTCTCTCTCAGACGACCTGACCAGTGTGTGCGTCAGTGGAGAGAAGCCTCACGTCCCCAACAACCCAGAGCGCTGTGACACATGTGTTTGCGTGCTGGGGGCCGACCCCTTCAGCTCCGGCAGTCACTGTTGGGAGGTGGAGGTGGCGGGCAAGACCAGATGGGACCTGGGGGTCCTAAGACAGAGTGTGCGTAGGAAGGGGGTCCTGAGTGTGAACCCTGCCCATGGGTTCTGGGCACTGTCCCTGAGGGACGGCGGCCAGTACAGCGCCTGCACCATGCCCTGGACCCGTCTCACACTGAAGAGGAGGCCCAGGAGGGTCAGAGTGTGTCTGGATTATGACGCGGGAGAGGTGACTTTCTATGACCCCACTGACATGTCACTCATCTATACATTCAAGGACAAGTTTAAAGAGCCATTGTTGCCCTACTTCTGTCCCTGTGTGAGTGACAGCGGCCGCAACGCTGAGCCACTAAAGATATGCCCTGCCAAAGTGTCATTGGTTCATGATGTTGGTGATAAGGTTTTGTAGATTACAATATGTATTTTTTAGACGAGACATTGCTAATGCATCCAAATGTCTCACAATCTATTATTAACACAATGGATGTATATTTTCTATGTATATATGGATGTTTTTTATATATATATGTGAATGGAACAATTCTTATCCTATATAATATCATATGTAATATGTTCTTGATTTGTGTCAAATGATAACAGAAATTAAACAGAAAAGGTGATCATTACTCAGCATTTGTGTTAATATTCTGTAAGACTGGTTCTAAATGCTTATGAATTATTGTGCTTATAAATGCTTATAAATGTGTCAACATTTTACAATTAAAAACATATATGTTTATGAATAGCATGATTTATTCATGATTTATTAATAGTTTATTCATGAACGTTATTAATTAAGTGTTTCTTGTCAACAATGAGCTTGGTCAGCCAACAGAGGTGAATTCTTATTTGAGTGCTCCAAGCCTCCAACTGATAATGTGACAGTCATGTGATGACATACCCTTTCCTTACATGGAACACATTTTAGACACCATTCTTTAATGCTGAAATCCACCTCCCTTATCCAATCCTTGGCAAACACTGAGTGTATGCCGTGCCTGTCATTGTGTGGGTGTATGTGTTCCTGTCTGAGCACACAACACAGTATAAAAGCAGAGGCGCTCTCTGCCCCTTTTAACCTCAGACTTATCTATTGCTGAGAGAAGTCCTCGACTGAGACCAACAATGAGAGCCTACCTGGTCCTGCTTCTGCTGCTCCCTCTGTGCACAGGTAAGTCACACTTACTTACTTCACTTAGTGCTTTGAGTTCCTTGCCGAACATAGGTCATCAACAAACTGCTTCCAACCCCTTCTATCTCATAGACAAACTGCTTCCAAACCCTTCCATCCTTAGCCAGTTGTTCGAGTTATTGTTGCCATGTCAGTTGCTCTATCTTCATTTCTTACTCTGTGAAGATGCAGGTGGAGCAGTAGATAAAGGTGGTCTTAGGCCTTTCTCGCTTGCGTTTAACTTGTGGGCTAAAGGTAAGAGTCTGTTTGGTGGTCCACGTGATGCACGTTTCTTCTTAGAGTGTGGCCTAACCAGCACCACTTCCTCCTCTTAATTTGTACTTCAAAAAGTTTATCTCCCACAGTCAGATGTTGCTGATGGTATCTGACCAATGGATTCCAAGTAAGCTTCTGAGGCATTGGTTGGTGAATGTTTGTACTTTTTAAAACCTCTTAGGTGTAAAGTCCCCTATTTAGGAGAGTTTGAGCGGTTCTGGACCGGCTCCAACCTCAATTTTTGTGTACAGAGCGCACTGTGAATGGCGCAACATCCATTGCTGTGCACTCCGTGAAATCTTTGGTTGTCCCACTTCACATGCCGCTCTCAGCTGAGATGCAGTATGTGAAATCTGACACCTCATTTGCATAAGGAGCGACATATAACATTTTCGAGCCGATCCAGAGAAAGGATACATTTCCTCTGGCTGTGAACCTCGCAGCTCCGCTTTAAATCAGATGGATTTAGAGCTCTCAACATGAAAATAATATAAATAATTTTGCATAATTGAAACAAGACCCCTTTCACTTTGTGCGTAAAGCTGAAGTTGTAACGAGTCAGCAGGCATTTGAATGGCATCTCTGCGTCGCTCAGAGGTCGCTGGGCAGAACACTCTCTGTCGTCAGTTATATGAAATGGTGCCAATTTTGTACCATCACCAGGTATGATCATATTTATTTTACAGTTATAAGAATTCCAAGTGAAGCTGGTTGAGAGAATGCCAAGAGTGTGCAAAGCTTTCATCAAGGCAAAGGGTGGCTATTTGAAGAATCTCAAATATAAAATATATTTTGATTTGTTTAACACATTTTTGGTTACTACATGATTCCATATGTGTTATTTCATAGTTTTGATGTCTTCACTATTATTCTACAATGTAGAACATAGTAAAAATAAAGAAAAACCCTTGAATGAGTAGGTGTGTTCAAACTTTTGACTGGTACTGTATGTCAAAGCCTTTCTCGAAGTTCCAATTTATGGACTGTTTGATGATAATCCTGAGGATGGCAATTTGATCTCCGAAAGATCTTCCACTTCTCAAACAGGCCTAATGTTCTCTGTTTTTTATCCACCACCATCCTATAGGAGGATGTGATTGAACACTTTTCCTGGTGTTGTCCAACATTATCCTGAGGTAGTTTTTACACTCCCTTAGGTCTCCTTTCTTCTGTATTTTGAGGCCTAACACATGATCCAAACACACACATACACACAGCAGCTCCCACACACACATGCGCATGCACACTCACATTACTGAATTCCTGCTCTGCATCATTCATAACAGTGCTGGCAAGAGATTGAAATCTTCCTCAGATCACATCATTATGTTTGTTGTGATCTTTGTCTCCTGTGATCTTTGAACCAGCCTAAATATACTGTAGTCATTGATAAGACATAACCCTGACACTCTTCCCTCTCTTCCCTTGTCATAGCTGATTACAACATTGAGTGTTACGGTGAGGACTTCCTCATGCTGAGGAACCAGCTCCTAAATTGCTCAAGCAAAATAAAGCAGGCCTGCTACACCAGGAGTGAGTATCATAGTCATTAATTTGGCTCTGCTACACAAGGGCTGTGTCTGACAATCTTACTAGCTGTCAAATCCTTGTCTCCTCAATTGTTCATCTCTCTCTCATAAGTTCATTAGAGGAGAGGATAAAAGGGCCCTCCCACTGACTTCCTTCACCAATAACCTTTTGAGACGGAGGCGAGGAATTAGGAAAATAAGGACGGAGGAAGCAAGGATTTGACAGCTAGTAAAGTTTTCAGATACAGCCCAGGTATGGTGAATGTGCTGAAAGGAATCAGGCGCAGGAGGGTAATCACCGAATACAGAGTTAATTCTTTTGTTGACACACAAATGCGCTCCAATAGCGATCAACGAAACCGGCACAGGGGAAACAAACATCCCTGGCAAATACACTGTAACGGAATCCAATAATACATAGGCACAGGGGGAAAATCTACCCTGGCAACACAATGTTATGAGTAGCTCCACCGAGCTACATACTCTCACAATAACAATCACCCACAAGGACAAGGGGGCAGAGGGAACACTTATACACAGACTAATGAGGGGATTAGAACCAGGTGTGTGTGATTGACAAGACAATTGTGATGATGATTGGGGCGGCAGTGGTTAGTACTCCAGTGACGACGAACACCGAAGCCTGCCCGAACAAGGAGGGGAGGCAGCCTCAGCCGAAGTCGTGACACCAGAACTGAGCAATATTACTTGTTCTTGGCAAGGCTTGTTCTTTAGATCAATTGGTAGATTGATGACATTAACTGTAAGATATGCCCATAATGACGTTGGATTGCATAATACAACAGTAAATACAATGTTTGGACCTTCAAAAGGGCAACATTCAATTCTCATGGACTTCTGACCTAAACAAAATCAGTGACACAATAATTAATTATTAAATTGGGATACAAAAACATAAGTGATCAAATACGTAGCCTAACAATAAGTCTTATTGAATAAAACTGTTTGTGATAATAAAATCCTTGATCCTACATCTTATTATAAAGGCCTTGATCCTACTTCATCTTCTGATTGAGACCATAATCCTACTTCATCTTCTGATAAAGACCTTGATCCTACTTCATCTTCTGATTTAGACCATAATCCTACTTCATCTTCTGATTGAGACCATAATCCTACTTCATCTTCTGATAAAGGCCTTGATCCTACTACATCTTCTAATGTTCTGTATCTCCTCTACAGAGACTGGGGAGAAGGGCTGTGCTAGGCTGGAGTTTTGCTCTCGACCAGGCTGGAAGTGCTGCAATCAGGACCGCTGCAATGCCTAGAACTGATTCCAGGGGACACTAACCCAGCACAGGCAGAAGAAGAAGAGAGGGACAGATGGGGAAAGGATCTGTGATATCAGCTGACAGTAACTTGAGGGCTTACGCTCCAAGTTGCTGTTTAGCACTTGGTGATTGAATGTGTTTGTATAAATAACTATATACAAAAGTATATAAATAACTTTGATTTGATGTAAAGTCACATGAAATAAAGTCTTACGAAATTTTAACCACCTATCTCGTGTCTGAAATGCGGTTATAGTATACATCATTTCATCAATGTTTTGTTTTGTAAGCATGCAAGTTATTCTTTCAAATGTGGCATGCTGAATCATGCTGCTCATTGGGACACTCTTGCATCCTTCCCTTTACTGCGGTACAGACAGACAGACAGACAGACAGACAGAATTTACTCTGTGTGGGATGCCTGGCAGTCTGTGGGTCTTTTTATCTGTGTGGCAGTCAGTCAGCAAGAAGCTCCTGACCAGCTGAATCAGAATGGCACCACTCCTCTGTTTACCTACAGAGTCTAATACCACAGCCAGAGACCTCTATTCACTGTTTACCCACAGAGTCTAATACCACGGCCAGAGACCTCTATTCACTGTTTACCCACAGAGTCTAATACCACGGCCAGAGACCTCTATTCACCGTTTACCCACAGAGTCTAATACCAAGGCCAGAGAACTATGTTCACTGTACGGACCCAACTAGACACAGAAACATCCAGAATTCACTAGGGAAGACAGTGAAATGAATAACCCCTCGACTATACAGACATAGACAAACACACACATGGATACGCACACAGGACAGGTATCAGAGGGCTCAGATCAATACAAAACACCAGACAATCTCGGTCACAGTTGTGTTTTCAGTGAGTTGTTGTCGGAGCTTGACAAAGTCCACGTTTAATCCTTCCTCAAACATCTCTATGTCCCTGGGACATAGAGATGTTTGAGGAAGGATTAAACGTGGACTTTGTCAAGCTCCGACAACAATTCACTGATCCTGAAAACACAACTCTGACTAAATGTAAACTGGAATTATGTATTGAAGCTAACCCCTTTTATAACACAAAACATCCAGACCAAGATCAACACAGAGATCAGTGGAAATACTCAAACACAAAAGCTTTTCTCTGTTTTAAAATGTTTATTTTCATTTTTTTTTTTATATTCAGTATTTTTCTGTCTACTAACAGGAATGCATGAGAGACAGATCGTCTCAAACATTGTCAAGTGAAACATGTTTTTTCATCTTTTTTTGTCAGTTATATCTCATCAACATCAAATCATTTTAACATTATTGTCATCATCAGTATCACTGTCACCATGGATGGTCATAACCATGTTTATTCTGAATATCACAAAAAGTTGTACATGTCTGTGTCCTCCCCTCCCCCTTATGCCCTCCCCCTTTATGCCCTCCCCCATTCCAACCCGGTGTGCCAGCCGTTTTGTTCCAGGAGTGTTGGTGAGACAACCCCTGTGTACCCATCTCCCTTCCTCCCCCATCCCCGTCCCAGGACATATAGACATACATTCACAGGGCTGAGGTTTCAGACCAGTCAAGGAGCTTTGTGTTTCAACTCACTTCTCTCCTTCCCTTTTCCTTTGTGTGTTTTGGATACTAGCCCATCTAACTCAAAAACATGACTCTATACAAGCCCTTCTGAAAAAGTTACCCTAAAAAGATGGATGACCCTCTACCTCTTAAAAATCTTAGATCCTTGTCAGGACCCAGGACATAGGATGCCCTGGTGTCCATATCTTCCACACTTTACTAATCCTCCCTACCGTAAAAAACCTTCGGCAAAACCTACCGAACCCCCACACCCGATCCCCTCTCAATGTGGACATTATGGCAAGGCCATTCGTCAGAGCAACATTCAAAGTACATATCGGCTGTAGGCCTCCGATTGGCAGACCACTACCAAGCCTACATGGGGCGAGGTGAGTGGCCATGAATACACTGTAATAACAAGAGGAGTGACACCCCCAGAAAACCAGTTCACTGTCCCACCATAACAACCTGTCATGGTAAGAAGAGCACATTATGAGGACGCAAAGAGCCATTATTTCACACTGTATTGTACATGCTTGGCCTGTAGAAGAGCTGGAGGAGTGGGCCTCCTAGTGGTAAAAGAAAGCAATGAAAAATTGTTCAGAGGGTCTATCTATATCTCAAGATGAAGAGACTAGATATATACACACAGGCATACCATTATATACATAAAGTAGCCACACCTGAATGTACAAAATGGATGAGTATGGGAGGGGAAGATCTTGCAAGACCACATGCCCCCCTGAAAACTGGTTTGTAGCGTTCTGGAAAGCCTCCAGATATCATAGGGTATGAGTTAGTTTATAGATTGACAACTGTCATTGTAGGAGGGGTGTGCTGAGGTCATGAGAGATATTGTACAGGGTTCAAAAAGTGTGTTCACGTTCCATGCACTCAGAAACAGATCATTCTGGGAAGGAAATCCCATGTTCATTATAACTACAGAACTACAGGAAAACTACAGACAAAATCTACCTACAATAAAGCATTCCCAAGGAGGAAAAAAGCAGTTGATTTGCGAAAGCCAAAAAAATCTGAAAATGAAAATATTATAAAAAGAGAAAGAGGTTCTTTGTGGACCAGCTGGAAGTCTACATATTTGAGGACAACGCTAGAATAACATTAGTATAACATTGATACAACCATGCCCTCATGCAGTCTTTCACTATGATTACCAATGTCTTTACCTCATCACTATAACCCTGTCAATGCCACATACCAACCTTAGTACACTATCACTGACATGCACTTTACCTACACAGTTCCCCACTCACCTTTCTCTGACAGAGAGGGCCTAAAACTTGCTTTATCTACACCACATACCTTTTTACACAGTCCTCTCTCTTCCTTCTGATACTGACTAACCTGGAAAAATACTTCCATTATTCAATCCTGTACAACTAGCAACATCTTTACTACTCCACTTTCTCTCCCTAGTCATAGACGGACAATTAAAAAGCAAATCTCTCAATTCTCTATCCTCCACTTCCAGCTGATAAACAGAAGTCTCTCTCTCTCTCTAAATGTACCAGCGCATTTCCACCGAAGGGAGACAGAGAGGGCTGTGTAGAAGACTGAGGAGGCTCTCTCCCTCCCACTGCTGGCTGTGTATTCCTGTGAGCGTGATCCGGTCCTGATTTCTGCAGAAGGGGGGGATGGGGGTGAGGGCGGAGAAAGCTGGGCACACCCTCCTCTGGAATGACACAAATGTGTAAACGGCGGCTCGCACACACTTAAATACTTTTTAATTTTTTTGTTATCTTCTTTCTTTTTTATTAAAAACATCTCAGTCCATAGAGCAGAAAAGGAACAGTCCCCAGAATAAGATTTTAAAAAATATAAATCCCAAAGGGAAATTAAAAGAAACACTAAAAATGGTAGCATGTTATTGTAGGGCGAGCAGGTGAGAGAGTACGCTGGGTACTGGTCGCTGGTGGTTCAGTGTGGTCATTGTGTCCATGGCCACAGGATATCCTATGAATCATTACTAATCTTTTTTGCCATTACGAGGCTGGCTGGATGAGTTTCCTGGCAGAGAGAACAGTTTATTTCCATGGAAATGCAGTCTGCACGCATGTCAGGCCTTACACACACACACCTGTTTGAAAGCCCAGCGTGATGGAGTATGTTTTCATCAGCTGCATGTGATGGTAGGTGTTACTGGTTGTGTGTGGTCGCAAATTATGCTACGGTGTGTTATTGCAGGTTGTTGCATTATCGAGTAAGGATTGGGTGAGTATAAGTTTCTATGGCAACATAGCTTAGATATATGATCAATATTGACAAAGGGCTGGACTGAGGAGTGAGCATTAGCCAGGGGTACCTGCCTGGCATTAGCTAGAGCTTTCATCTGCAGACACAAATTAACCGTATGAACCAGAACAACCCCAACATTCTCTCCTCACACTCTCACGATGTCGAGTGACAATGTTTAAAAACAACAACATAAGCTACTAATATGACTGCCTTGTCTCACTTACACCCTCCATTCTTATCCAATTAACACACAGACATCAAAACGAAACACAAAGACGAGCATGAAAATAAACTCAAAAGAAAAACTAAAGAAACCTGAACAGATATGGAACCCTGCTGCGCACCTCCTGAGAGACGCAGTGACATCGAGGTGCCTCCAGGGGGGAGTGCTGAGCAGGAGAGAGCGCTGGGCTGCATCACAACTGAGGCTCTTTACGAGGGTGGGGTGAAAGGGCGGCCCTCGTCGCTAGGTGTGGCCGTGTCGTCGCTGGGGTCCAGGCTGTCCTTGAGGCTCAGCGTGCTGTCAGAGGGGGGCGGGGTTAGCTCGGCAGGGGGAGGGGTTTCGGGAGAGCTCTCCTGCCGTCCGTTGGTCGTGGGGGAGGTGGGTGTGGGGGGAGGTGTGACAATGGCCACTCCCTCGCAGTGCGCCGCTGGGGGGTCAGAGGTCAGGTCGAGGACAGTGGGCGGGGTTGGGGTTGCGGTTGGCGTTGCGGCCTGCTCGGTGGGGGTGGGTGTCAGGGGCACCGCTGGGATGGCGGCACGGGGGGTGGAATTATGTAGGAGCCCCTCCCCTAGAGAGAGGGAGGAGTCGCTGGGGACCAATGAGGGGGTCTTCTCCACCAGACGCCACTGCATGACACTGGTATCCTTCCCGCCCGTGGACACCAGGTGACTGTCGTTGTGCATGAAGGTCACATTGGTCACGTGACTGCTGTGGGCGCTGTATTTGTGACTAGGTGCCTGTGGAGGAAGGAGACACATGAACACATATTAGGATTTGAAGCTAATGTTACAGTATGTTATACTATATACAGTATATATATATATATATCACAGGAGGTTGGTGGCACCTTAATTGTGGAGAACGGGCTTGTGGTAATGGTATAAAATACATAAAAATCATGGTTTCCATGTGTTTGATGCCATTTCATTCCCTCTGTTCCAGCCATTATTATGAACAGTACTCCCCTCAGCAGCCTCCACAGATATATACGCTCAATACCAGAATGGTATCATTGAGCAGTGTTCAGTAAGGGGATTCTGCTGGTGCTTAGGGGCCAGGGCTGACTTACCTTGGGTCTGGCACAGGGGTACTGGAAGAGGTGCACTTTGCAGAAGTCATCAGCCAGAGCGATCACCTTCCTGTTGTGGGACCTGATCAGGGCGTTGATGTCTGTACCATCGGAACCCTCAGGCCACACTCCTGGAAGACACACATACACACACATTGGTTGTTTTGCCCCGCTATCATAGCAGTGAACCCTGCCCTGAACTTTAGTCACTGTTACTAGCCGGCTACCACCCGGGAGTCAACCATAATGTCTATACACACCATATATATATTTATATTCATATTCAGGACTGACATTGCTCATTCGAATATCTGTATATTTCTTCATTCCTTTCTTTATATTTTTGGGATTTGCGTGTATTGTTTTGTATTGTTTTGTATTGTTAGGTATTACTGCACTGTTGTAGGAACATAAACATTTCACAACACCCGTGATAACATAACATCTGCAAAATATGAGTGCACAACCAATTTGATTTGATTTAGTGTACTATCCACATGTTAAAGTACATGAAGCCATGTGAAAAGCATAACACCAGGGGGCAGGGCAACACTATAGGAGACTTCATCCATCTCTCCATACATTTACATTTACATTTTAGTCATTTAGCAGACGCTCTTATCCAGAGCGACTTAGTTAGTGAGTCCAACATTTCCATACACACTAACATGCACAATACACTCTCCCTATCTTACCTTCTCTCTCTCACAGGTGTGTGTAATAATACATGTATGCACATAAGCATATAGAAATAAATAGTGATCACTTCACACACATATGCAATCTCTATTCTCATTGGTCTTATCAGTTCCAGCCTCAGCGAGGGACAATCTACTGGCTGAAAGTCAAGAGTTAACTATTTTTCCAGCCTCCTATAGAGCTAAAATATGTGGAGTTCGGGGCTGATGTGGGGCTCTATTTTTCTGGGCCTGAAAGGGGGAGTGATAGAAAGAGATGGACAGAGCGGAAAAAAGAAAGAGGGAGTGAGACAAAGAAAGACAGAGATAGAGAAAGATATGGGGAAGCACTGCAGATACCTAGCCTTTTGGCTAGTCCTTTTCTTCACTAAAGACGTAGTAAAGCCGCTGGGTGTCATTCTGGTTGAATTCCACACATCTTCACTTATACGTACTGAATTACAACTTGTCACCATGGAATACAGCAAGGAGCAGCGCACAAACGAGATATTGAGGAGCCGTTCGGACAGAGGACGGATCACTCATCTGTGGGCAGTCGGCGTCGTCGTTCGGATCAGGCTCGATTAACTTCATTGGTTTGGTTTGGATTGTAACCTGCGTAGTTATACTGCTCCTATAGCCGGTTCAGTCTGGTACATCACATGTCAGTTCCACTTGTGGCTTTGCTGTTCTTTTTGGTCTTCACAAAGACGGTCAGTACGAAGCCTCTGTGTGTCCTGCGCTTGATTCCTCACCACATCTACACTCAAACCGTGAACAGAATTACACACCATTCACCATGGAATCACGCAGGAGCAGCCGCACCTACCGAGATATTGAGGAGCGCCTTCGTGGACAGGAGGACAGGATCAACCCAGATCGGGCACGCTCTGGATAGGGTGATGAACACCCTCCATCGATGGGAGACCAGCGGAGTACCCACGCCCCCACCTACCACACCATCACCATCGGTCAGTCCACCTGTCCAACTTCCGGAACCCAGTGGGATTCGGCTCTCGCTCCCGAGGGCGTACGACGGCACCGCTGCCGGGTGTCAGGGTTTCCTGTTGCAAGTCGAACTCTACCTCGCCACCGTACACCCGGCGCCCTCGGGACACGAGAGCGTTTCCGCCCTCATCTCCTGTCTCACCGGCAAGGCGTTGGAGTGGGCCAACGCCAAATGGAGGAGGATAGACGCCGCAACGATCACCTATGCAGAGTTCTCCCGCCGCTTCCGGGCAGTGTTCGACCATCCACCTGAGGGGAAGGCGGCGGGGGAGCGTCTATTCTACCTCCGGCAGGGGATGAGGAGCGCTCAAGAGTTTGCACTGGAGTTCCGGACTCTAGCGGCAGATGCAGGGAGGAATGAACGGGCCATCATAGATCACTTCCGCTGCAGCCTACGGGAGGACGTCCGTAGAGAGTTGGCGTGCAGGGACACCACTCTTACGTTTGACCAATTGGTTGACATGGCCATTCGGCTAGACACCCTGCTCGCCACCCGCGGACATCCTGGGTGGGGGTCGCCCATTCCACCCTCCAGCACCTCCGAGCCGAGTCCTATGGAGCTCGGGGGTGCTGGCGCTAGAGAACGGAGGAGAAGGAGCCCGAGGGGGGCCGTCCCCTGCACCAACTGTGGCCGTGGAGGGCACACCGCGGCTAGGTGCTGGGGAGGGTCTCCTGGAGGACGAGACGGCAGGCCACACATTGGGGAGTACTCCCAGGTGAGTAGGCGCCCCACTTACCCAGAGCTTTCTGTCGTGCACATAACCATACATGTTTGTTTTCCACAGGTTGCACCTCGTTCCCAGCATAGTAGATTCCAGTAGATTCAGGCACAGCTGGGAATTTTGTAGATCGTAAATTTTGTATAGAGTTAGGGATCCCTCTCCTTCCGGTTAATAATCCCTTCCCTGTACATGCCCTAGATAGCCGTCCGTTAGGATCCGGGTTGATTAGGGAGGTCACAGTGCCACTTAGGATGGAGACGCAGGGGGGTCATGAGGAGACGATTCAGCTATACCTGATCGACTCTCCTGCGTATCCGGTGGTGCTAGGGCTTCCCTGGTTGATTACTCATGATCCTACCATTTTGTGGCGAGAGAAGGCTCTTAAGGGGTGGTCTGCCCAGTGTGTGGGGCTATGTCTGGGTGTTTCCGTAGGGGCGACCTCGGTGGAGAGTCCAAACCAAATGCCCGCAATGCACGTTCCCCCCCCCGAGTATGAGGATTTAGCACTCGTGTTTAGCAAGGTGAGGGCGGCGCGATTGCCACCTCATAGACAGGGGGATTGTGCGATAGACCTCCAGGCAGGAGCTGCGCTCCCGCGGAGCCATGTGTATCCTTTGTCACAAGAGGAGAAGAGGGCGATGGAGACATACATTGCCGAGTCTCTGAGACAGGGATACATACGGCCCTCCACTTCCCCTGCGTCCTCAAGCTTCTTTTTTGTGAAGAAAAAAGATGGAGGTTTGCGCCCGTGTATTGATTACCGCGGTCTCAATCAGATTACTGTGAAATATAGTTATCCACTCCCTCTGATTGCGACTATGACGGAGTCATTACACGGGGCACGGTTCTTCACAAAATTGGACCTCAGGAGCGCATACAACTTGGTGCGCATTAGAGAGGGCGATGAATGGAAGACAGCATTTAGTACTACCTCGGGTCATTACGAGTATCTCATCATGCCATACGGGTTAATGAATGCTCCATCAGTCTTCCAATCCTTTGTGGATGAGATTTTCCGGGACATGCAGGGGCAGGGAGTGGTCGTGTACATAGACGATATTCTGGTGTACAGTTCTACCCGAGCCGAGCATGTAGCCCTGGTGCGCCGAGTGTTGAGGAGGCTGTTGGAGCATGACCTGTATGTCAAGGCAGAGAAATGTCTGTTCTTCCAGGAGTCGGTCTCCTTTTTGGGTTATCAGTTGTCCGTGTCAGGGGTGAAGATGGAGGTTGACCGTGTGTAATTGGCAAACCCCAACCACGGTTAAAGAGGTGCAGCAGTTCTTGGGCTTTGCGAATTACTACCGGAGGTTTATCCTGGGCTTTGGACAGGTGGCAGCTCCCATAACGTCCCTTCTGAAGGGGGGTCCGGTGCGCTTGCGGTGGTCAGCTGAGGCGAACAGGGCTTTTGGGAGACTGAAGGACCTGTTTACTTCGGCTCCGGTGCTGGCGCATCCGGATCCCGCTTTACCATTCCAAGTGGAGGTGGACGCGTCAGAAGCCAGTATCGGGGCCGTTCTCTCGCAACGGTCCGGCACACCACCTAAACTCCGCCCCTATGCTTTTTACTCGAAAAAGCTCAGTCCGGCGGAGCGAAATTATGACGTAGGGGACAGGGAGCTGTTAGCCGTGGTACAGGCCCTAAAGGTGTGGAGGCATTGGCTTGAGGGGGCTCAACACCCTTTTCTCATTTTGACTGACCACCGTAACCTGGAATACATTCGGGCAGCTAGGAGACTAAATCCTCGCCAGGCTCGGTGGACTATGTTTCTAGCCCAGTTCGTGTTTAAGATCACTTACATCCCTGGGTCCCAGAACGGAAAGGCAGACGCCCTGTCTCGGCGGTATGACACAGAGGGGAGGTCCGTTGAGCCCACTCCCATACTACCTATGTCTTGTCTGGTGGCACCGGTGGTGTGGGAGGTCGATACGGAGATCGAGCGGGGCGTTACGCACCGACCCTAGCCCTCCACAGTGTCCGGTGGGTCGGACGTACGTTCCGCTCGAGGTTCGGGATCGACTCATTTATTGGGCTCACACGTCACCCTCCTCTGGGCATCCAGGTATTGGACGGACAGTGCACTGCCTTAGCACAAAGTACTGGTGGGATGTGAGGGTTTATGTCTCCTCCTGCTCGGTGTGTGCCCAGTGTAAGGCGCCCAGACACTTGCCCAAGGGTAAGTTACAACCCCTGCCCGTTCCACAACGACCCTGGTCTCACCTCTCGGTGGATTTTGTTACAGACCTTCCCCCCTCACAGGGGAATACCACCATCCTGGTCGTTGTGGATCGGTTCTCGAAGGCCTGTCGTCTCCTTCCCATGCCGGGTCTTCCTACTGCCCTACAGACCGCTGAGGCTCTATTCACTCACGTCATCCGGCATTACGGGGTACCCGAGGATATAGTGTCTGATCGAGGCCCCCAGTTTACCTCCAGAGTCTGGAGATCGTTCATGGAGCGTTTGGGGGTTTCGGTGAGCCTTACCTCGGGTTACCACCCGGAGAGCAATGGGCAGGTCGAATGTGTAAACCAGGATGTGGGTAGGTTTCTGAGGTCGTATTGCCAGGGCCGGCCGGAGGAGTGGGCGAGGTATGTTCCCTGGGCCGAGATGGCACAGAACTCTCTCCGCCACTCCTCCACTAAACTAACTCCTTTCCAGTGTGTGTTAGGGTACCAGCCGGCTCTGGCACCTTGGCATCAGAGCCAGATCGAGGCCCCTGCGGTGGATGAGTGGGTGCGGCGCTCGGAGGAGACGTGGAACGCTGCACACGTCCATCTGCAGCGGGCCATCCGTCGACATAAGACGAGCGCCGATCTCCACCGCAGTGAGGGGCCGGTGTACGCACCTGGAGATCGAGTCTGGCTCTCGACCAGAAACCTGCCCCTCCGCCTGCCCTGCCGGAAGCTGGGTCGGCGGTTTGTGGGGCCTTTTAAAGTCCTGAGGAGATTGAATGAGGTGTGTTACAGGTTACAACTGCCAATTGATTACAAGAATATTAACCCCTCGTTCCATGTGTCTCTCCTCAGGCCGGTGGTAGCTGGTCCACTCCAGGACTATGAGATAGAAGAGACTCCTCCGCCCCCGCTGGACATCGAGGGGGCTCCGGCGTACACTGTTCGGTCCATCCTGGATTCGAGACGCCGGATGGGGGGTCTCCAATATCTCGTGGAGTGGGAGGGGTACGGCCCGGAGGAGCGGTGCTGGGTGCCGAGGAGGGACATCCTAGACCCGTCTCTTCTGACCGAGTTCCATCGTGGTCATCCCACGCGCCCTGCTCCGCGTCTTCCTGGTCGTCCTCGAGGCTGGGGTCGGCGCACGGCTGGAGCCGCGCGTAAAGGGGGGGGGGGGGTACTGTCACGGTTTCGGCCGAGGCTGCTCCTTCTCCTTGTTCGGGCAGGCTTCGGCGGTCGTCGTCTCCGGAGTACTAGCTGCCACCGTTCTATGTTTCGATGTGTGTTTGGTTTTGTCTGTTTTGTTACACCTGTTCCTTGTTAGTGTTAATTATGCGTCCTATAAGTTCTCTTGGGTTTTGTCATGTGTTGTGTGTAATTGTTCGTTGTCATTGTGGGATGCTAGTTCGTTTATCTCTCTGTATTGTTTTTGAAGAGAGTTCCGCACATTGTGTGCCTTTTGTTTGTACTATACCGGTGTGCGTAAAGTTCGCTTGCCTGCCAGGTTGTATGTAGCCGTGTTTTGGCTTGTTCTTTTTGTCTTCACTAAAGACGTCAGTACGAAGCCTCTGTGTGTCCTGCGCTTGATTCCACACCACATCTACACTCAACCGTGACATGAGGGAGGGATAAGAAAGAAAGAGGGAACGGTAGAAAGTCTGTCAGAGTGCTAGTGAGTCCCAAACCACACTTTCTGTTCAGTAGTAGGTCTCACACCCACAGAGGCTTATACACCCACAGCAGTGAAAATAAAACACACACACACACACACACACACACACAGATCCAGCATAGCACAGCCAAGAACAGTGCCAAAGTATTCCCACCACATCCCTATTGCCTAAGTAGGTACTGACCGAAGACATGGTAGCCCAGCACACAGGTGTAGGTGGCCCAGTCGATGTCCTTACACTCGGAGCGGTTACGGATGTACTTGCAGCCGTTTGGAATGTCCCCTGCAAAGAGGATAGAACCAGGGCATAGGTGAAGGGAATATTTCACAACAGCAGTGTTACGCAAAAAGGTATGACTTTCATGAGCTATACGTTGGAGTAGCCCAATTATAATTTTTAGAAAGTAAATGAAAAAATAGTCTGATTGCTAAACATCCCTTCATGGATCAGTTATTTAGCTGTTGCTGCAATCTTACTAAGGCATTACACTCATTTGAAGGTGTGTTTACGTACAGTAGAGGATCTCGTAGTCTCCTGAGTTGGACATGATGAACTTGTTGTCGGGGGACCAGTCAAGATGTGTGATGTAGCTGGAATGTCCCTGTTAACCACATAGAGTGAGAAGGCTGGGTATGTGATTTAGGAGGAGAGATGAAACAGTTAATGGTACTTTAATGGAGCGAGAGACATGTACAGTACAGCTAGCTTAGTTTTGCTAATAATTTCATAGGAGATTTTTGCCTTTATAAAAACTAGCCCACGCAGCTGTTAAGTCCACTATCCTGGGAGCGAGCTCCAGTCTTCCATCTCAGCCTATAGGAGGAGACACTGTGTGCGTGTGTGTGTCTGACCTCCCCCACACTCAGTCAGGGAGGGAATCTGTTTGCCTATCTTGGCACTTTGTTTGATTTCCTTCAGGTCTGCAGGCTTCCATCCAACACACAGACCCATACACACACGCAATCATATCATATACACAACATGGAATCATATACACACACACACACACACGTCTCTGACATCCTGCCAAGTTAAGGCTAGTCACTCCACAGCTGCTGAGCTCACTTTCTCACACATACAAATCTGAATCCCATACTGAACGAAACACGCACACAAAGTAGATGTATTTCTGTCTTTATGCATTTCCCTAATTATACGCACAATCCTAGGTACTTCCTTATATGAACAAGAGGACACATATACATATTTGCATGTGTCCCTAAAAATCCCTATAAATAACATAGCTATATACTTACACTGTATATCAGTGTGTGTCTCGCTGCTTTGCTGTGGAGCTGTGCTTACAGACAGGGGCCCAGTCCTTTGCCAACGCCAATAAAACCTCAAACCAACCTTCCCACAATGTCTTTATTCCCTCTGGAGCCCTGAGCCTTTTAACCTTACCTAATGAGAATCTGGCTTTAATACTCTCTAATGCTTGTTTTTCAGCAATCTAAAATGTGAATTCTGATCTCTGATCTGTTATTAAACTACCCAACACAAAGCACTATACCGCATGCACTGCTGTGGCTGCGAGGCCATGTACGGTAAATTGCCTGGGGGTTAACACTGGTAACCTTTCATCCCACAGTATGGAACCCACACCAAGACCATAGTGGTCAAGCACCAGAAGCAATGACCGTGACCACAACCTGAGCACCGTGGTCCTAGCCATTGGCATCCAACACACAGATGACCAGAACTCCACAGGCATGGAGGGGGGAAATGATAGAGAGAAAGAGAGAGAAGAGAAGAGAAGAGAAGAGAAGAGAAGAGAAGAGAAGAGAAGAGAAAGAGAAGAGAAGAGAAGGCGAAGAGAAGAGAAGAGAACAGAAGAGAAAGAAGAGAAGAGAAGTAGAGAGAAGAGAGATAAGACTCCTCTCCTCCCTCTCCTCTCCCTCCTCTCCTCTCTCTCCTCTCCTCCGCCTTCCTCTACCTCTCCCCTCTCCTCCCTCTCCTCCTCCTCGCCGCTCCCCTCTTCGTTCGAGTGAGATGGATGAAAAGAGACCCCTGTGGGGTCCATTCCACTGTAGAGTTGACCTACTGTTCACACTACGTATACATTTACCTCTATCCTAAAGGGGTCACATCTTTCTCTCTGTGTTTGTCTTGCTCTTTCTCTCTCTAATTTAAAATCAATTCAAGTCAATTCAAATAAGCTTCATTGGCATAAAAGGAACAACCCAATGGTAATACAATACAAAATGTATTAATAATTCATACCGTCTCTCCCTCTCGGTTTCTCTCCTGTTGCTTTTCCCTGTGATTAATACACTGTGAAAGCACTGATCATATCCATCTCTCCAGCTGCAGGGAGACAGCACTCCCCAGGGCCCCACATACACTAATATCTCAACAGACATTCACACACACACACACACACACACACACACACACCATTCAACACACCACAGCAGTCTGCATAACTCACTTTGATGAAATGCCTTTACTATGGCTATATTTCTAAGCTAAAGGCCTCTCCCATGCTGGGTACTGAACTACTCCCTTTCCTCTCCTCACAGGCTCACTTAGGAGGTCAAATATACATTCAGTAGACAAAGACACTGCCTCTTTGAGAAAATTATCTTCACACATGCACATAGGCATACACACACAGACACACATCCACAGAGACAGAGACACACACACACAAATGGTGCTGTACTCACAATGCACTTCCCGCATCTGGTGTACTTCCGGCCTTTCTCCGACACAGTGTGGAGGTAAATGAAGTTGTCATGTGATCCCACTGCCAGCAGGGTGCCATCTGAGGAGGGAGTGAACAGGATTGTGGTACATTATATTATCCTCCCTAAGCGTTTATTGGATTAACAATTCTTCCATTAAATCCAATTATACAGTTTGGATAGGGTGTAAGATCAGCTCCACCCACCTACAGAGAAGCGCATGACTGACAGCTGCTCGTTGCCGTCTGTGTGAATGGCCACCAGGTCTCTGGTCTCTGCATCCAGAGCGTACCACCTGGGACACAAGGGAGTGGAGAGAACAACACAAGAGGATTCATAAGAATACAGGAGGAATCTATGAGAGATGGGACAGATAGACACTAATGTGCTTCAGAGTTAGAGATAGGGTTAAGCTGAACTTACTTTCCTGAGTGAGTACCGATGGCCACAACAGCACCACTGGGGTGAAAGTCTGCACAGTGGCCATGCTCCTGAGAGAAAGAAAGAGCAAGGGAGAGAGAGAGAGATACACAAAATAAATGTATGTTTGAAATGTAAGGCCTGATTCCTATCTTGAGATTTGTTTGCATGCATTGATCTCAATGGAAAACTTGGATCAACATTTCAATTATGTCTGTGAATAAAATCAAAAGGGTAGTGAATGAGCGTGTATTCTTAATCTGCTGTATAGAATAGTTCAGAAAGGGAGGTATTAGTTCTTACATCCAGGAGCCTGGTCCATTCAAGGGAGTGGTCCACAGAGTTCCACAGGCACACCTGCCTGTCCTGAGCACAGGTTAGGAACAGGTCCTTGAAGGGGTGCGACGCCAGCCCCCATAGCTCGTCTATGTGACCCTGGGGCGAAAGGTCCGAGGTTAGAAAATGATGCAGATGGGGATATGTTTTCATTTTGACCAAAGTGACTAAGTACTTAACACAACTTACTGAGTAGTTAACACATATTCTGTATGTTATCCATTTAATGTGAGAATCAAAACCCAGAACTCTGGTGTTTGCAATGCAAATATCATGCTCCAACCAACTGAGCCATTGGAAACACCCCCACAAGCTCTGATGACCTCCTTCACACGGGGGTAGTGTGCCTCAAAGAGGGACATAAGAGGGGGGTGGGATCAGTTGGGCACCCTCAAAAGAGGGGATAAATACCTCCGCCCGGCTGTTTATAAAGCGTTCAAATCACTGGGAAAATTACTGCAGTCATACAACACAGCTCTCTGGAAAATAGCAGCGTCTCGCCCGCTCTGCTCTCCCTCACAGAGAGGAAACGATTGGGAAAGCAGCTAGTGAGGGGGCTGACACTGGCATCCCTAAAACAGAGCTGGTATAGCAGGCCCCTGCAGTCCTAAGATGCCTATTTAGTCTGCCCCTTTCACATGCCGGAGGAACAACCCCCCTGGATGTTTCAGATGCGCCACACCAGGAATATTTAGTGGTGGTGGTCAGCTAGTCAGCAGTGAGAGATAGAGAGACAGAGAGAGAGAGAAAAAACGAGAGAGAGAGAGAGAGAGAGAGAGAGAGAGAGAGAGAGAGAGAGAGAGAGCAAGAGCGAGCAAGAGAGAGACAAAGAGTGAAACTTCTCACCTGCACTTCCACCTGGAAACCATCATTAAACGTCCCCCTCAGGATGAAGTTACGTGAAGTGCCCACCAAAAACTGCTCCCCCTTGCCCTCGGCCACAGCGCGAATGGTTCCATATTGATCAGGGACCTGCAGTGGAACAGATACATTGAGATGTATAACAAATCTTCCCAAACAGTTGCAATCTGATCAACATCGAATGATAGGTTTATCATCATATTGAACATGTGTTATTTGCCATATATGATATACTGTATCTAAGTAAGTGTATATGTTTTTGCATAATCCATGGTGTATTGTTGTATATGTGTCTGTATGGCCATTGCACCTCTATATCCCTCTCTGGGTTGAGGTCATGGTCCCACAGAATGATCTTGTGGTCCTTGCCCCCTCCGGTCAGCAGGGTCCCGTTCCTCATCTGACACAGAGTGAACACACTGCCGTCATGGGCCTTGATCTGACGACTGATCTGGTACGCACCTATGGGGGGAAAGAACAGAGGGAAGGGGAGGAGAGAGAGAGAGAATGAGAAGGAAAATTGCCCAGAAGGAAAGAAGAGGGAGAGAGGAATAAGAAAGGGTGAGCGAGTGAGGCCGTAAAACAGCTCACAGCGGAGATTTCTGGGAATAGGATAGAACAAATACTTAACATTTGCTAATGTGGTTTATGTGCCACGGTAGAGGTCAGCTCTTGTTGTTCTCTCAGGGAAGCGTTTGAGGTGGAAGTGAGAGAGAGTGTGTGTGTGTGTGTGTGTGTGTTAGGGCTGGCACAATTACAGTATAATCGTGTAACTGGCGATTATGGATGAAGACCGTCATTAAACTAAAATAACCGTCATAACCGTTAAATGTTTAAAAAAATTGTGGAACGAACAGCTGACTGAAGCTGGGACGGCCGGGCATTCATGCGGTTGAGTCCGTTTCCGCAGTAAAATTGACTATTTACAACATGATAAAACGTTGTTGCTCCTAGCTGAAACAAGCAAGGTGTTGTAGCAAATTAGTCTTTGGTTGCCTAGGCAACACCCCCCTCCCTGCAGCAGCACTGTACATGCAGTCAGCTTTTTTAAAGTACGGTGACCAACCATAATAACGGTAACCGTGGTAATTTGGCTGGCCAATAACCACCATCCAAAATTCCATGACCGGCACCGGCTAGCGTGCGAGAGTGGGTGTGTGTGATTAAGAAGATGGCTATGGAAGGCTGTGTTTGAATGAGTATGTGCATTCATGTCTGTGTGTGTGTGTGTGTCTAGGGCTGATGTGTCTGCATTCTCCACATACACTATATATACAAAAGTATGTGGACATCCCTTCGAATGAGTGGATTCGGCTATTTCTGCCACACCAGTTGCTGACAGTTGTATAAAATCAAGCACACAGCCATGCAATCTCCATAGACAAACATTGGCAATGTTCCAATATCTAGTGGAAAGCCTTCCCAGAAGAGTAGAGGTTGTTATAGCTGCAAAGGGGGGACCAGCTCCATATTAATGAGATGTTCGACGAGCAGGTGTCCACATACTTTTGGTCATGTAGTGTACCTGCAGATTATCACTCCTCCTGTAATAATACTAAATTCTATGCTGATAATACAGACAGATGCACAGCAGGGGAGGGCCATTCCTCAAGGCTAGTCAGACTTAACCTGAGGCAGTGGAATTGTCAATGGAGGTAATATTGAGTGGCAGAGGGAGGGTATGTGTAGAATTAATGTGCATCAGATATTGTTTCTGTCTCTGTATCGCTTCTGCTCTCCCACATTGGCATGACCTTCATCCCTGCAGAGCTCAGACAGATGTGGAAACACACACTTCACACACACACACACACATAAGCATTCACACACGCATGCTCAAGCATGTGCACACACACACGAACACACACACACACACACACTCACTAACACACACGCACTCCAACCATCTAACCACCAAGCGTCACTGTGGCACAGCCCCAGCTTCAACAGAGCAACTAGACCAGAGCAGGTAAATAAAGAGATTAACAGTTTATCCCTGGCATCTGGCCCTAGTTCTGCTCTTCCAGTTCTGTAGCATGCCAACCAAAACCATTACTGCTCAAAACCCCAACACCCTCCCTCCCCCAGGCACTCTGGCCTGCCAACAATCACACCCACTCTTCTTCTTCTCTCCCCCACTTTTCTTCCCCGTCTTTCTCTTTCTGTGTCTTTCTGTGTCTCCTTCAAGGCTGTTTTCTTTTCTTCCGGTCTCGAATCACCTCTTTCAGTTGCTCTCCTCTGTGTCTTTGAGACTCACTGGGAAGGTAATTGTTTTGTATTACTCATTTGGGTATGTCTGATATGGTCAGACGGTTTTGGCAGATGGTTTTACCAAAGTGACTAAGTTCAACACAAATATTCAGTAGGCTATACGTGGCTCATGAGGGACTCAAACCTACAATCCTGGTGTTGCAACACCATGCTCCAACCAAAAGTGCCATCAGTAGCACTATACGGGCGGGTGTAGGGACTATGTGAGGTATAAAGTACAGTGTATGGTGTAAGGTATTATAAGGTAGTGTATCTTTGGGTCCTTTTCCTGGGTCTGGCTCCACTAGGTCTAGGGGCCTGTTTGTGAGTTTAAAGGTCCAATGCAGCCATTTGTATCTCAATATCAAATCATTTATGGGTAACAATTAAGTACCTTACTGTGATTTTATTTATTAAAATGATCAAAAATAAACATAAATAGCTTCTTAGCAAAGAGCAATTTCTCAAGCAAGAATTAAGCTAGGTCTGTCTAGGAGTGGTCTGAAAACTAGCTGTTACTGACAGAGAGGATTGGAATCATCTTTCTTATTGGTCTATTAACTAATTTACCACCTGGGTGATGTCACCAGGCAGGCCAACACTCCATCCCACCAAAACAGTCTGAATTTTCAGGCGGCCTTTTCAAACAGCTCTTACACTAAAAGGGCATTATCATAATTTTCACAATTTCACAGTATTATTCCAACCTCATAGTGTGGAAATATATATAAAACACAGGTAAATCACATTTTTGACTGCACTGGGCCTTTAAGGTAGTGTAAGCTAGAACGGTATATAAAGTGTATAGTGTACCTTTGGGTCCCTTCCCTGGGGTCGGCTCCACTGTGCTCCTGCTCCATATCAACATGATGCCTCCAGAGTCTCCAGTCAGGATGTCCCCGTTGTTGAGGAAGGCCAGACACTGAACAAACTTGGGTTTCTCGTATTTCTGAGCAGGAAGATAATTTGAATGAGCTATTTCGTAATAATTGTGTTGTGTTTGTGTTTAGTATTAAGGTGTGTGTGTCCTCACCCCGAAGATGCCCTGCTTGCGTGCCAGCGAGGTGCCAGCCCAGGTCCAGAAGAAGATGTGGGACTTGCCACAGGTTACTATGGTGTTGGCATCAGTAGGGTGGAACTCCACCACAAGCACCACCTCATTTGTAGACTGGTGAAGGTGAAACAGAGATCATATACAGTTAAAAAGAAGATTCATTTTATAACCCAATCATCAAATGCAATTATTTATGTATTTTAGGCAGAATTACACAGTATAAAACACCCCATGTATCTCTGACCTTGATTTCAGCGATCTTGGATTTCTTCTGCCAATCCCAGACAGTCAACATGTGGTCGTTACAATCATCAATCACCGCCAGGTGTGTACCTGAGTCCTGTAGGAGAAACCCAGGAGGAAACAGGGTGTCTTCATGTCAGTAAACCTTGTATGAAACATAGATCCTATTGTCTGCAATTCAGTAAATCTGGCATAACATAATAATATAATTCCAGTTTATGCCTGCTATTCTTTGATAGTGCATATTAACTACTATATACTGCATGTTGATGAGAGGGCATGGAAGAGTCTAAACATGAATCAACCTGTGGCATAAATTGCCATAAAGCTAGTAGGAATGACCAATAAACTTCTAAGCGGTTAGCAATTAAGTCGATTTGGCATAATGGTATCAGCAACGACATACAATGATAATACCCTTCATTCAAGATTTACTATTCTTTAATAAAGCAAATCCACTGCTCAGCTCTGATAACATAAGAGGATAATGTTTCACTTAACCTAAAATGCGTGTTTGTGTGTCCGTTTGTATGGAAATGGGTCATAGTGTATGCGTGTGAGTGTGTGCGTGTTCGCGTGTGAAGGGAGCCAGGCAGTAAAAGCAGACTTCTGGAATGTGCTAACTGAGGACAGAGAGAATAGTAACAGTAAACTACTGATTAGAGAGCCTATGAGGTACTCAACACCACAATGACACCACTCTGACCCACTAGCCTGATCACAAAAGGGCTCGGTGCAGAAACACACAGCACCTACAACCCCAGACCTGAGTCTAGAACATCTTATCTAGACCCACTAACCACTGGCTGTGATGTGATTACGTGAACTATGATATGTAGGATCTGTACAATTCCCAGGGTGGGGTCTCACATGAATTACTACACATCCTGGATTATATCATTAGAGGTGTTAGGAGTGGTGCTAGGGGTACCCACCGCTTTGGAGAAGGCCAGGGAGCCCACCCCTCTCTCGAAGGTGCCCAGGCCGATGACCTGCAGGGTGGACAGGCTGACCGAATCCCACACCCTCACATGGGGCTGCAGTGGCTGCAGGGGGAGAAGAAGAGAACACACACATCATTGAACTAGCTCTCGGTTTAGCCAAACTCAGACACTATGGCTGCATTTACAGTATATTGTTTTTGACAGCATCTTTCCTTGATTCCTTCCCTTCACAATCAGTGGCAGATGAGGAGAGGAAAACGCATCATTTGACCAGCTCTCAGCTTTCACTGTATTCACTAATCAGAAACATGTGTATCTGTGTCTCGGTTGGGTCTTGATAATCCTTTAAAACTTCCTTTCCTTGTCGCCCTATCCTCACAAGCACTGGTAGATAAAATAACTGGATTGATTCCCACCCAATTGGATTGATTCCCACTCTGGCGGTTATGGCGCCGGAGAAGATGGCTGCCGTTCTACAGCCTTCTAACCAATTGTACTATTATGTGTGTTTTTTCGCGTTATTTGTAATTTATTCTGTACATAATGTTTCTGCCACCGTCTCTTATGACCAAAAAGAGCTTCTGGATATCAGGACAGCGATTACTCACCTCGTATTGAACGAAGATTTTTCCTTTAACAAGTCGGACGCGAAGGATATTCTACAGACAAGGCCCAAATCCCTGTCATTCGCATGAGAAAGAGACAGAGATATCGTGGACGTAGGTCGGGGTGCCTTGTAAGGATCCAATGGCGAGCGAGTAAACTGCCTCTTCCATCAACCCTATTAGCCAATGTTCAATCATTTGAAAATAAATTGGGACGACCTAAGATTAAGGATATCCTACCAACGGCACATTAAAAACTGTAATATCGAATGTTTCACTGAGTCGTGGCTGAACGACGACATGGATAACATACAGCTGGCGGGATATATGCTACATCGGCAGGATAGAATGGCGGACTCCGGTAAGACAAGAGTGGCGGTCTGTGTATATTTGTAAAAACAGCTGATGCTTAAATTCTAACACTAAGGAAGTCTTGAGGTTTTGCTCGCCTGAGGTAGAGTATCTCATGATAAGCTGTAGACCACACTATTTACCAAGAGAGTTTTCATCTATATTTTTCGTAGCTGTCTATTTACCACCACAAACCAATGCTGGCATTAAGATTGCACTCAATGAGCTGTATAAGGCCATAAGTAAACAGGAAATGCTCATCCAGAGGCAGCGCTCCTAGTGGCCTTTAATGCAGGCAAACTTAAATCCGTTCTACCTAACTTCTACCAGCATGTTAAATGTGCAACCAGAGGAAAAAAAACTCTAGACCACCTTTACTCCACACACAGAGACGCGTACAAAGCTCTCCCTCGCCCTCCATTTGGCAAATCTGACCATAACTCTATCCTCCTGATTCCTGCTTATAATCAAAAACTAAAGCAGGAAGCACCAATGACTCGGTTAATAAGGAAGTGGTCAGATGACGCAGATGCTAAGCTACAGGACTGTTTTGCTAGCGCAGACTGGAATATGTTCTGGGATTCTTCCAATAGATGATGCAATCTCTATTGCACTCCACACTTCCCTTTCCCACCTGGACAAGAGGAACACCTACGTGAGAATGCTATTCATTGACTACAGCTCAGCATTCAACACCATAGTGCCCTCAAAGCTCATCAATAAGCTAAGGACCCTGGGACTAAACACCTCCCTCTGCAACTGGATCCTGGACTTCCTGATGGGCCGTCCCCAGGTGGCAAGGGTAGGTAACAACACATCTGCCACGCTGATCCTCAACACGGGGGCCCCCTCAGGGGTGCGTGCTCAGTCCCCTCCTGTACTCCCTGTTCACTAATGACTGCATGGTCAGGCACGACTCCAATACCATCATTAAGTTTGCCGACGACACAACAGTGGTAGACCTGATCACTGACAAAGATGAGACAGCCTATAGGGAGGAGATCAGAGACCTGGCCGTGTGGTGCCAGGATAACAACCTCTCCTTCGACGTGATCAAGACAAAGGAGATGATTGTGACTGAGCACGCCCCCATTCTCATCGACGGGGCTGTAGTGGAACAGGTTGAGAGCTTCAAGTTCCTTGGTGTCCACATCACCAACAAACTATCATGGTCCAAACACACCAAGACAGTCGTGAAGAGGGCACGACAAAGCCTATTCCCCCTCAGGAGACTGAAAACATTTGGCATGGGTCCTCAGATCCTCAAAAAGTTCTACAGCTGCACCATCGAGAGCATCCTGACTGGTTGCATTACCGCCTGGTATGGCAACTGCTTGGCCTCCAACCGCAAGGCACTTCAGAGAGTAGAGCGTACGGCCCAGTACATCACTGGGGCCAAGCTTCCTGCCATCCAGGACATTTATACCAGGCGGCGTCAGAGGAAGGCCCTAAAAATTGTCAAAGACTCCAGACTCCCTAGATATAGACTGTTCTCTCTGTTCGGCAAGCGGTACCGGAGCGACAAGTCTAGGTCCAAAAGGTTCTTAACAGCTTCTACCCCCATAACAGCTTCTACCCCCAAGCCATAAGACTCCTGAACAGCTAATCATGGCTACCTGGACTATTTACATTGCCCCCCCCACCCCCTCTTTTACGCTGCTGCTACTCTGTTTATTATCTATGCATAGTCACTTTAACTCTACCCACATGTACATATTACCTCAATTACCTGGACTAACCGGTGCCCCCGCACATTGACTCTGTACCGGTACCCCCTGTACATAGCCTCCCTACTGTTATTTTATTTTACTGCTGCTCTTTAATTATTTGCTATTTATATTTTTTACTTATCTATTTTTTACTTAACACTTTTTTTATTTTCTTAAAAACTGCATTGTTGGTTAAGGGCTTGTAAGTAAGCATTTCACTGTAAGGTCTACAGCTGTTGTATTCGGCACATGTGGCAAATACATTATGATTTGATTTGAATTGCTTTTTACCTATCATATCCTCTAAGATCAGTGGTAATTAAGGAAAAGTTGAAGGAGGTGAGGAAAGGAAGCCATTTTAAAGATTTGAGAAAGCATTCAACAGGTATAGTCAGTGAGTTATGCAGGATCTGGCTGACTGACAGGCAGTATCCTCTTCTACGGAATCATTTGAGGAAGGTTAGAGCCAGTTTGGCATGTTTACACCCAGAGAGCTTAAATATAATGAGTTGCATTAGAGTATGGATTATTGCTATTCTTGAGTAAATATGGAGCACCTGTGTCTGGGTCTGCCTGTCAAAGACATGAGTGAGCCTGATTGTGCAACGCAAGCAGAAATACTCATACTGTACACAAGAAAAGACATTGTGCAAACAAGGATTATGCTTTTAAACATAACCACAGATAGACATGTCGTTCTGTATTCGGCAGGCTGGTATAAGACTACTTAAAGGAAAACTCTACCCAAAAACGATCTTTTGGTATTTGTTTCATTAGACCATTGTTGACATAGTCCCAAAATGCTTTGGTTGTCTGCAATCAATATATGTAACTTTCAAAATACAGAAATCATCCCCGTATGATGCATTTTGCATCATATGATGCTGCGTTTTAGATCATATGATGATTTCTGTATTTTTGTATTTTGAAAGTTACATATCTTAACTTAATTGCTGACAACCAAAACATTTTGGGACTATGTCAACAATGGACTAATGAAACAAATACCAAAAGATCGTTTTTGGGTAGAGTTTTCCTTTAAGTAGTCTTACAAATAACAAAATATAGTTTTTGGGTGGAAAACCCCTTGGTGTTACATAGCTGACATTTGAAGCCCTGTGACTTGCCCAGGTGTGTGTGCGCCTGTGTGGATGTATGATGGTGTAGAAAACAGGTTGCACAAACATGAAATGTCACACTGCCGATCATATTATTAAAGGATTTAGCTAGCAGAAAGTGAAGGGGTGAAAGTGAGGGGGTGAGGTATGGGTGAGGAGGTGGGAGAGTGACTCACCCGCCCGTCCTTATCCACTCCTGCAATCTGTCCCGTGGCAATGCGGATCTTATCAGGGTGAACAGCAAGGCTGAGAGAGACACAGAAAGAGAGACAGAAATAGACAGAGAGAGAATGAGATCAAAAACCAATTAAAAAATTGTTGTGTGTGGGAAACTACCTCCCTATTGAAAACACCTACAGTCAGCAACAATCAGTAGTGATAAGGTCAAGTGTAAAATGAAGTTAGATGAGAGGTAGCTGTTTGACTGAGCAGGCCTGTGTGCATGTCTGGCCCACAGCCTGATGGGAGGAAGTGAGGCATATAGTTTCAAACAAAAACAGGTCTGTCAGCGCTCCGCTATCACACAGACTCATTTGACTCTCCCACTTCTCTACCACCCGGACAGACATTTACATCTCATTTGCATAGTCTGTTTATTTTAAGAGGCTCCTGAGAGGATGGAACCCGGAGACAGTTGAACTGGACGTGTCAGCTACACAGTGGTTAGTGTAGGAACCATTGTGTCTGTGACAAGCATTTGCTTAATCCGCATTAAAAGTTTTGTGTGAAGTGTTTATACAGTATTCAGACCCTGGGGGACATATTATTTTACCTTCTGTATCTGTATATTTTATCTACTGTCTCCAGAATACACAGCCCATGATAGTGTGTAGGCTACTGTATGAATTCATTGCCATACAACACAACCAAGCCAGCCCAAAACTCCCAGTTCCCACCAACTCACCATTTTGTGTGAGAAAAAAAAAAGGAAATAACATCATGTAGAACAGGATACCAGCTCACCATTTGACACTGTCTGTGTGGCCGAGGTAGTGGCGCTGTGTCCTCTCCTCATAGTTGAAGAGCACTACCACAGAGGCAATAAAGTAAACACTCTCCCCTGTAGGGAGCAGGTACACGTTGGCTCTGCAGTCTTTCCCCCTGTAGCCATACCTGGCATAGGGAGTCAAGGAAACACAACAGAACACACAGAAGGAAACCCATTGAGAGAAACACAAGAGACCTCAAACGGTCCATCTTAATAGTATAATTGGCACATTCTACTAGTATCCTTTCCTTCATCTGCAATGTGAAAACAACTGGAAAGGTGTAAATGAAGACCTAGAAGTCATCCACCATTTTGCTTTGATCCACAGATAGACAACAGAGGGACTGAGGTCAGGGACATACGGAGAGAGCGTTTGGGACCAGGCCCTGCTGAGAGCGAAAGGATACACCCACTCCAGTTTGAGTCTCTCTGGAGGCAGCTCTGTGCGCACGTCATCATAGTTCTCCACGTCCGCGGGGATGAACATGGTGATGGGTCGACCTCGCATGAACATCTTGATGTAGTCTCCCTCTGTTGAGGAGACAGACAAAAGAAAGTCGTTAGCTTGCTACATCACGATCGCCATTTTGACTTGTTAAAATACAGAGGAAACCTGTTGATACTAAGCCCTTGCTTTAGCACACACATTCAACATACAGTTCCAGCACAGGTATACATATTAGCAGGGGCAGACCTGGGTTCAAATACTATCTGAAATGATTAAAAATAATTTTGAAGTATTCAGACAGGCTAGAGCAAACACTCAAATAAGTATTTGAACCCAGGTTGGGGTGGTCTTTTTCTCACCAAAGAAAACCCTGTTGAGGTAATAAAGGTTAATATGTCATGAGTCAGAGAGTGTGTCATGAGTCAGAGAGTGCATGACATGAGTTTAGTCCATTAACAGAAGTATTTCTGCAGTCTGACTGCTCAGCACCCTCCCCACCGGCACACATAATCACTTGGTGTGAGAACACTTTTGCACATGAACACTTTTTTACATAAACACCTCAAAAAGCTTAGAAAAGCCTTATGAGTTCAGTAGATTTTTTTTGTATTATTATTTTATACTGTTCAGTTAGTGTGCTGCACATGCTTTCCACTCATCGAGGGATGAGACGCTGTATAGACAGACGAAGAGACAGACATGGACAGACAGACAGAGAAGCGTTGAGTGCCGTGCACCGGCGCGAAGCAGTGAGTCAGCAACCCCAAACCCGGCTGAAATAAGAAAACGTGATAGGGGTAGAAGAAAGAAAAGAGGAGGGGGAATAGAGAGCAAAAAAGAGGGGGGAGGTAAGATTTGTGGTAGACTGGGATCAGTGGAATGTGTGTGTTTCCCTCGTCAGTCTCCCAGCTCTGTGGGGTTAGGGCTCTACTCTCCTAGTGAGAAGACGAGGGGGAGAGGGAGATTTGGTGGAGGGGAACAGAATTTCAACATTGCTCATAAAATAGTGAGGGCTTTCATCCCTTTATCACAAATTGAGGGGAAGCATACAGTAGACCCCACACTGGATGGTCAGAATCCATCACAGGAATTATGTAGTTAGGACTAGCTACCATTTACTGGTACCAAGAGAAGGCCTACATACTGCCTTGGGGACACTAATAAGTGTAGCCATGGTCTGCAATATTCTTATTTACTAACTGATGTTTTCCTCATTATATCTGTGACAATTAATGCCGGGAAAAGGCTGAATTAGCTGAATTTTAGTCCTAAGTGTCGGTCGGTCTGTCTGTCTGTGGAGCTAATCGAGTTAGCTAGGGCCCGGTCCAGCCATCTCAGGCCCAACCACATTCCTCACATGACCCGCCTGAGCCAAGACAAGGACACTTTTAGCCAGACGACACTATGTTAAGTGACAACGGGGCACGGTGGGGCGTGGCATCCTGGCAAAGCTATGCCCTTTATTTAGGCTGGGCATCGCCTGAGGACAATGGCATGGAGGAGGGTGAGAAAGTATGGGGGAGTGAAATAGTGATAGAGGACAGAGAGAGATGGAGAGAAATAGGAGAGCGAGGGTGCAGAGGGGAACGAAAGATCATGTCTGTGCTTGACGTGATAAAGGGAGTGGCAAAGAAAGATAGATGAAGAGATAAATCAGCCGAAAAAGCGGAGAGTGGAGAAGGGCTCGTTCCAAGGCTGCTAGCGCTCGCTCTCTGTTGACAACTTACCAGCTTGGCTGTTTTTCTCACGGGTTGACATTTTGGCTGGTCATGAGACAGAAACAACATCACTCAACACACACACACACAATGACAGTACACAGGGAGAAGAGCTAGCATGATCTGAAGAAGACAACGGTGACTAGTTGGGTCTACACAATAGGATAAGGATATGTTGGAAGGAACCACAAGACGCTTTGAAATACACCTCTTCTCTTACCTAGAGGCACTCTAAGACAGAAATAGTACAGTGTAGCATTTTCATAAAGCCTAATGAGAACATACTTTAGGTTACATTGTATTATATTGTACAAAGTTCCAATTGTTCCAAAAAGTGCCAATTATGTGGCTATACTACAGTACATAGGTCTAGTGATTTCCATTATGTGGTGGTGGATGGTTTACATAGAAAAGACAGTAAACGATATGGGAGTGTATTCACCTTGGCTGATCACTGGGTCTTTATGCCTGGAAGAGAATGGAGAAATAGCAATTAGGTCAGACTGTGACTTGAGACTACAAAAACAAGTGAAGGTTGACAGTCTGACAGTTGGGCCAATTTAGCAGCATCCTATATTAGAGAGAGACTTTGGATGAATCCTATTATTAGGGAGGGACTTTGGATGAATACAATATAGGGAATTAAGGGGTTGTCATAGTGATTCTAGGATAGTGTAATGTCTCAAAGGTACAGTACTCTCATATACCCCATAAACAAACATAACCGGAATTAAATTCTGATGTATCACTGTATTTGGATTACACTGCCACACATATGTTTACGTTGTATAAGACTTGTGAAGTGTGTCCCATCAGCCACTCACTTGTCTGCGTTCTTCACCACCTTGGCCAGCAGTTTGGAGGTGGAGGCAGCCTTCACCAGCTTGTTCCTGCTCTCCTCACCACTCTCCCACGTACTGCTCTGAGAACGTTCCATCCCTGTGCCCCGCTTCGCACTGTGACCCCTACACACACAGAGGAACGCACAGCGTGCACATAAAGAGAAACAGTTAGTTTTATACCACAGAGATGGATCAAGAGAGGAAGAGAGAAAGAGAGTTAGCTAGACAGAAAGAAAGCAGGGGTATGGAGGAGTGCCATGGTGATAATGGAGACTGGTTTGAATTGGCTACTACTACTCATTTTCTATATGTTAAAATTGAAAAAGTGCATTGAAGTGTGTAACTGTATTATTATTTGCAGTATACATTATACTTACGGCCCAGAGTTTGAACTTGACCAGGCCACCATGTAACCTGACAACCTGAAAACTCTATACCCTTAATGCACATTTATTTCACTCATGGCAACCCTCCTGTTGGGTTAATCTGGACCTGAAACACCACACACACAAACAAAGAGATATGGTGCCTCAAAGAGGCACCCAGGTGAGTAGTACGCATTACGCAACCCCTCAGCACTAGAATCAATGCATGCTGCTGTAGCCGGGCACACAGGGGAAAGCCCACCCCAATCATAGGTTAGTACACATGGGCTGGCCGTACAGCTCAAGCCCCAGGCTTCAGGAGACAGAGAAGGCCGAAGAGTTAAGAGCCACACTGCAAGTATAAAGTTAGAGAAGAGGAGGTTGGGTGACAGTGGAGAATGGAAGGTTTGGAGAATGGCTAGAGAGAGAGGAGCGTGAAGAATAACACTCCTCATGCGAAGCTGTGAGGAGGAAGGGTTATTTGCGAGACGTAAAGTTTTGGATCACTTCTGCATGGCGTCTGTTCAACCTCCAGGGGGCAGTGGTGATGCTGAGGGGTAGATGGTAGTGTGGCAGACTGTTGGGGGAGGGGTGGTTTAATGATGTGTTACACTACTACTTTTACAGAGTCTGTACTCTGTCCTTATCTACGATATAATACATGTCATTTAGCAGAAGCTTTTATCCAAAGCGACTTACAGTCATGTGTGAATACATTTTACGTACGGGTGGTCCCAGGAATCGAACCCACTACCCTGGCGTTACAAGCGCCATGCTCTACCAACTGAGCTACAGAGGACCATGGAGAGGGAGAGACACCTAGACATCCTCTGCTTATTCTAACTGCCTGCATGGAATTTGGCGGGAAAAGAACAATCTAGACTAAACAGAAGTGATCCATAACCCCACCAAAAACACATATGCGCACGCGAACATACACACACACACAGAGGCCTGGGGTGGGCAAGAAGAGCACACACAGGGCCAAACGCACAGAGCGCAGCACCAGCCTGAGGGGCCCCAGGAGAGGAGTCAGGGGTGAGTGAGAGGAAAGCTAACACTCCCACAGATGGAACTGGGGGCAGAGCTGAAATGCTTCACTCTAAAGGGGTGTGTGTGTGCAGGAGAGTCAATAGATATGTGTGCAGGAAAGTCAATAGATATGGGGGAAGAGAGAGAGAGAGTGGTAGGGGTGACAGATGGAAGGAGTGGTAACTAAAAGGAGGGGTCCATAAACGGTAGATGAGTGGTATCGTATCATTGCTATACAGCACATATGTAACGTGTGTCTGTTGGTTAAAAGCCCTTAATGGTGCACTCACTGCATCTCAAATCTCAAGGCTTTATTCTAGCTAAGTGAGTGTGAATTGAAGCCCACTTGAGACTCCTATGCTATCCATTCCTCTGATTGGATTGGAAAGGGACCATTTAAGAGGTAAAATCACCCTATAATACTCATGCCTCTCTTGCCCAGCAAGAGCCCCGAATGTGCACTGCGCTGCTTAGAAGCCTGGCCGATTTCATATTGGGTGGACACACGCACAATTGCTAGCAGATGAGTTTTCCAGCAAATGTGCTTGTAATGTCAGCGGCCCTGACTAATAACCTGATACTTGCCCAGTCTAATGGGCAGGGATGGGTTCCCGGGGTGCTCTTTGTAAAACGTAATTGGTTTTCAATGTTTCGTAGAATAATTTATGTTGATCTGTGCTTTGAGTCATGAGTGTGAGGCTGACCAATGCTTTGATTAGTGAGTGCAGTCGGTCTGGGGCTGGAGCTTGTGTGTCGCGTGTGTCAAAGGCTGGTGTGTGTGTATCCTGACTGGTACGAAGCACAGCTGGTACATGACAGATAGGGCCTCTCCTATTCCTAACGATATAGTGAGAGGGCTCACACTATTGTGGATGAGTGGAGAAGGGACATCTGCAAACCATTCCTCTTCTCTCTTCTATTTTCCTCTCATCTGAATGAAAGGGCTGGGCTAGAAGTAGTCTAAAAGAAAAAGTAAGTAGTGTTGAGAGCCGTTTGAGAAGCGAAGGTCTGCAGTGGCTGAGTCTGTACATGGAAAGATAGCTGAACGTACAGGTGAGAGATGGAGATAGAGGAGGTTAATAACCGAAATCGGTTCAAATGTGAGTGATCTAAGAAGCCATCCCTTCCCCCAGTGAAAGGTAAGCTAGGGTTAAGAGCATTAAGAGTGTCGGCAGGGCATTGCGTTGGTAGGGGTGGGGGCATCGAAGATCAAAGTGTGCGTCGGCGGAACCTTTTGGCTGGGGAGGTGCCCTTGCTCTCCGGGGCCTGCCTTTGGGACTGAGGAGGGTGTGGGGAGAGGGGGTGGCTGGAGCTGGAGGGGGACGGCGAGGGCTGCAGGGGGCTGGCTGGGGGGGCTTTATCGTTAGCCTGGTTGGGCTGGGAGGGCCCCTCCTGCTTCTCCTTGATGCCCTCCATCTGAGGCGTGTCCTTTTTCCTCTCTGCTGTCTGACCGCTGTGGAGACAACCAGGGGGTTAACCAAACAGGGGGACACAACCAGTGGAGACAGGGGGGACAGAAAGGTATATAAGAGGACAAGCTGATCCTATAGCTGTGCCTATACAAGCAACGTCTACCTACAGCGAGACCTGCAAAGCCCCGACCTCCTCCATAGGCAGTGAATAGCTGACTCTGTATATTTGATTAATGTCTAGTGAATCATTGTGGAAGTGCTCAGCAATGCTTAGCCATAGGTGTACATACAGACTGTGACAGGTACCCCATCACAACATGTGTTATCCTCCTATAACATATATTGTCCTGAAAGAACCAGGGTAAATGTATAGGCTTTATTCTGTTGAAACACTGCAAGCTGGAAGGTAGAAAGTTAAACACGTGATCAACATTAAACAGGTTGACAAATGAGATGAATGTGGCATTTCAGAGCAAAACATCATGTCAACACAGGCTCTGCATAAATGGCTGCCCATCTGATATGAGCAGGTCTAGAGTTGAGCAATGACTGTTTTGAAGTGTGTGTGTGTGTGTGTGTGTGTGTGTGTGTGTGTGTGTGTGTGTGTGTGTGTGTGTGTGTGTGTGTGTGTGTAAATGTGTGTGTGTGTTTGTGTGTTGTACAGTACCTCTTGGCTGCTGAGGAGAAGGTCTCCTTCCTGGCGACGGACACTGTGGAGCTATCTCGGTCTCTGTGGCTGGGCTTGCGACTGCTGGAGCTGCCGTTGGCGATGCAGGACATAGAGTAGGCCTCACGCAGGGGATTCTGGCCTACAGGGAGCAGGAGAGAGCACATTCAGAAGGGACAACTACAACATATACACTGAGTGTACAAAACATTATGCTCTTTCCATGACATAGACTGACCAGGTGAATCCAGGTGAAAGTTATAATCCCTTATTGATGTCAACTGTTAAATCCTTCAATCCTTGACACAATTGCGACATGGATCATGTTTGTGTGCCATTCAGAGGGTGAATGGGGAAGACAAAAGATTGATGTGCCTTTGAACGGTTTTTTAGGTGCCAAGCACACCGGTTTGTGTCAAGAACTGTAACACTGTTGGATGTTTCACGCTCACCAGTTTCCCTGTGTGTGTCAAGGATAGTCCACCACCCAAAGACATCCAGCCAACTTGACAACTGTGGGAAGCATTGGAATCAAAATGGGCCAGCATCCCTATGGAACGCTTTCGACACCTTGTATAGTCCATGCCCCGACGAATTGAGGCTGAAGGCAAGGGGTGGGTTGGGGGGGGTGTTTTGTCCACTCAGTGTAGAGTCATTGAACACTGGTCACTTAAATAAAGCTTGCATACTGTTTTACCCATTTTATACAGTGCATTCGGAAAGTGTTCAGATCCCTTGACTTTTCCTACATTTTGTTACGTTACAGCCGTATTCTAAAATTTATAAAATTATTTTTTTCCCTCATCAATCTACTCACAATACCCCATAATGGTATTATTTTTGCAAATGTAATAAAAATAAAAAACATAAATAACTTATTTACATAAGTATTTGCTATGAGACTCGAAATTGAGCTCAGGTGCATCCTGTATCAATTGATCATCCTTGAAATGTTTCTACAACTTGATTGGAGTCCACCTGTGGTAAATTCAATTGATTGGACATGATTTGGAAAGGCACACACCTGTCTACACAAGGTCCCACAGTTGACAGTGCATGCCAGAGCAAAAACCAAGCCATGAGGTAGAAGGAATTGTCCGTAGTGCTCCGAGACAGGATTGTGTCGAGGCACAGATCTGGGGAAGGGTACAAAAAAATTTCTGTAGCATTGAAGGTCCCCAAGAACACAGTGGCCTCCATCATTCTTAAATGACTCTTCCTAGAGCTGGCCGCCCGGCCAAAATGAGCAATCGGGGGAGAAGGGCTTTGTTCAGGGAGGTGACCAAGAACCCGATGGTCACTCTGAAAGAGCTCCAGAGTTCCTCTGTGAAGATGGGAGAACCTTCCAGAAGGACAGCCATCTCTGCAGCACTCCATCAATCAGGCCTTTATGGTAGAGTGGCCAGACGGAAGCCACTCCTCATTAAAAGGCACATGACAGCCCGCTTGGAGTTTGACAAAAGGCACCTAAAGGACTCTCAGACCATGAGAAACAAGATTCTCTGGTCTGATGAAACCAAGATTGAACTCTTTGGCCTGAATGCCAAGCGTCATGTCTGAAGGAACCTGGCATCATCCCTACGGTGAAGCATGGTGGTGGCAGCATCATGCTGTGGGGATGTTTTTCAGTGGCAGGGACTAGGAGACTAGTCAGGATCGAGGGAAAGATGAACGGAGCAAAGTACAGAGATATCCTTGAGGAAAACCTGCTCCAGAGAGCTCAGGACCTCAGACTGGGGCGAAGGTTCACCTTCCAACAGGACAACAACCCTAAGCACACAGCCAATACAATGCAGGAGTGGATTCTCTGAATGTCCTTGAGTGGCCCATCCAACCTGACAGAGCTTGAGAGGATCTGCAGAGAAGAATGGGAGAAACTCCCCAAATACAGGTGTGCTTGTAGCGTCATACCCAAGAAGACTTGAGGCTGTAATCGCTGCCAAAGGTGCTTCAACAAAGTACTGAGTAAAGGGTCTGAATACTTATGTAAATGTGATATTTCCATTTTTTATGTTTAATACATTTGCTAAATAAAATTAAAAAAACGTTTTTGCTTTGTCATTATGGGGTATTGTATGTAGATTGATGAGAAAAAACTAACAATTTAATCTATTTTAGAATAAGGCTGTAACTTAACAAATGTTTAAAAAAGGGGTCTGAATACTTTCCGAATGCACTGTATGTATATACTGTATTCTAGTCATGGCTCATCCTAAATAACTACTGCTGTACACACCTTTTCTATTCATATACTGTCCATACTGCCTATACACACACCAATGTGTATATTTATATTACGAACTCTGGATATATTTTAATTTCTTTATTTTTCTTATTTTTGGGGGGGATTGTTTGTGTATCGTTTTTTATTGCTATGTATTACTGCACTGTTGAAGCTAGAAACACAAGCATTTTGCTGCACCTGCGATAACATCTGCAAATCTGTGTACACGACCAATACATTTACATTTTAGTCATTTAGCAGACGCTCTTATCCAGAGCGACTTACAATAAACTTTGATTTTAGTTTGAGTTAAGGGGAGATGAGTTTAGGGGAGGGGGAGTGGTTGAACAAGGGAGTATGACTGCTCCACAGACAGACAAACAGGGGTTAAGAGTCTGATCCGAGGGAGGACAAAAGGGAGGATTAGGGAGGGCAGATTCCTGGCTAACCCTATCTCACCACCACCACCCCCCCTCACCCTGTTAACTAGACAGCCTAATTGGATAAGGAGTGAAGAGGGAGCTCACAGGACAGGGAGTAGGCGTCTCGGTGAGATAAACCATTGATTAACGGTCCTCATGCAGAGAGCCGGAACACACGCTGGGCACACTATAAACACCAGTATGGACACTATGATGCAACACACTGTAGGAAACACACTCATATGAGTATAATAAGTAAAGTGAATGATGAGTATTTGAGTCAATACATTCAAGATTCTAATTGATGATAACAGAAACAATACCATGCCATTTTGGAGAGAAGATTAGATAAATGCACTTCTCTTTGTATGGGGTTTAATTTAATGAATAAACTCAGTCCTTCTAAGCACTTCTGTAAGATGTACTGTGTAGGGTCAGCCTGTGTACTGACTGGAGGATGGGTGAGGGGCAGGGTTATGTTTGGGGGTGCGAGGCGTCCCAGGGGAGGCCTGATCCTGTGTCAGCAACACATGGTCCAGTTTCACGGCCCATTACCCGCCAGCTCAAACACACACAAGATGGTGGAGGATCTGGCCTCCCTCTGCAGGGCCAGGTTGGGGGATACCCCATCCACCAACCCCCCACCACCACCCTCCTCTCTCCTGTCTCCTCCCCTCCCCCCACCATCGTCAAGACAGAAGACAGCTGGAGAGTAATTAGGAGGAGACCAGCGATGCTAGTACACAAGGCCTGAGGGAGAGTCAATGAGTCTATTAAATGAATAGTCAAGTGAAATCAATCCTATCCTATTCTAAGGGCTGTGTATTAATAACGATTGATGCCTTGCAAGAGACAGAGTCCTCATCCATCAACCTGGATTCCTGATCTTATAGACATATTTATTACATTTACATTTGACATTTTAGTCATTTAGCAGATGCTCTTATCCAGAGCGACTTACAGTTAGTGAATGCATACATGTTTTTTTTTTATACTGGCCCCCCGTGGTAAACAAACCCACATCCCTGCCGGCCAAACCCTCCCCTACCTTGGACGCTGGACCAATTGTGCGCCGCCCATGGGTCTCCCGGTCGCGGCCGGCTGCGACAGAGCCTGGACTCGAACCAGGATCTCTAGTGGCACAGCTAGCACTGCGATGCAGTGCCTTAGACCACTGCGCCACTCGGGAGATATCTCTCCCATCAAACTGGTGTGATTGACAGGTGTGTGTGTGTGTTTTTTTTTTTTTAGGGGGTAGATCAGCTTTAATATTGCAGATAGATTTTGTAATTTCCATCAATGTAATTGTCTGCATCACTTCCATTCCCCATATGTTTTTTTTTTGCATAAATATATATATATATATATACACACACACAGTGGGGGAAAAAAGTATTTAGTCAGCCACCAATTGTGCAAGTTCTCCCACTTAAAAAGATGAGAGAGGCCTGTAATTTTCATCATAGGTACACGTCAACTATGACAGACAAAATGAGAAAAAAAATTCCAGAAAATCACATTGTAGGATTTTTTATGAATTTATTTGCAAATTATGGTGGAAAATAAGTATTTGGTCAATAACAAAAGTTTCTCAATACTTTGTTATATACCCTTTGTTGGCAATGACACAGGTCAAATGTTTTCTGTAAGTCTTCACAAACTGTTGCTGGTATTTTGGCCCATTCCTCCATGCAGATCTCCTCTAGAGCAGTGATGTTTTGGGGCTGTCGCTGGGCAACACGGACTTTCAACTCCCTCCAAAGATTTTCTATGGGGTTGAGATCTGGAGACTGGCTAGGCCACTCCAGGACCTTGAAATGTTTCTTACGAAGCCACTCCTTCGTTGCCCGGGCGGTGTGTTTGGGATCATTGTCATGCTGAAAGACCCAGCCACGTTTCATCTTCAATGCCCTTGCTGATGGAAGGAGGTTTTCACTCAAAATCTCACGATACATGGCCCCATTCATTCTTTCCTTTACTCGGATCAGTCGTCCTGGTCCCTTTGCAGAAAAACAGCCCCAAAGCATGATGTTTCCACCCCCATGCTTCACAGTAGGTATGGTGTTCTTTGGATGCAACTCAGCATTCTTTGTCCTCCAAACACGACGAGTTGAGTTTTTACCAAAAAGTTCTATTTTGGTTTCATCTGACCATATGACATTCTCCCAATCCTCTTCTGGATCATCCAAATGCACCCTAGCAAACTTCAGACGGGCCTGGACATGTACTGGCTTAAGCAGGGGGACACGTCTGGCACTGCAGGATTTGAGTCCCTAGCGGCGTATTGTGTTACTGATGGTAGGCTTTGTTACTTTGGTCCCAGCTCTCTGCAGGTCATTCACTAGGTCTCCCCGTGTGGTTCTGGGATTTTTACTCACCGTTCTTGTGATCATTTTGACCCCACGGGGTGAGATCTTGCGTGGAGCCCCAGATCGAGGGAGATTATCAGTGGTCTTGTATGTCTTCCATTTCCTAATAATTGCTCCCACAGTTGATTT